TAGCCCATCTTTGCGTCGACAATAGATAAGGGTACGATTATTCAACTGCGAAAGACGTCTAAATAAAACCGGAGTTTTGGCTTTTATCAAAGGGAGGACCAAACAACACAGTCTACATTTTTGCACTTGCACACTACCTTGACGTAGGTTTGCAAATTAAAAGGCAGATTGAGGCTCAACAAATAGTTGGCAGTCTAAAGTAACTTCTTTCACCTCGTTATTGGTGCGGAAGTGATTGAGCTCTTCGAAATCCCACGTTCTCCGCTATCTAAAAAATCCCGTCCCTTGTGTTGCGGCGCGGCAAATTAATAATGGGTTTATTAGACTACCCGGATCGGGTAAGTATTCAACTCACTACCTCGATTTTCGAGAGAATGATTGCTGTGCTGTACTGTGCCGCGCCGTAGGCCGGGAACGGAACCCTAAAAATCCAGGAATGCCACTGACGTACAGACGCTTGTCCAATCGCCTCCGTAACATTGGCGTCTGCCAAATGGCCTTGATCGCAGTTACTGAGCGCTCCATCATCAGCCTTAAGGCATATTTAATGGAAGGTAATTGAGACAGACTTCTCTTAAATGTAATTTGGACACTAAATGATCTTAATCTTATAATTACTTTACTGGATTTGGCTCTCATGTTTTATCTATCTTATACTTTCGTAAAGGTGAACTTACCTGTTATTGGTTAGTGTTTTTGCCCACAAAACAATGTAAGTCCGTACAAGTGAGTAGTTTCTCGTGATCCGTCCAAAGTTCCACATGAAAAGAGAGTACTATGAACACGCCGTCATGTGACTAGTTGACTTGATGAATCCAAACGCCTCTTTTTACATTGTTTGGTGACCCCACTCCCGTGTGATCTAGTGCAAACTCACTAGTGATGTGGGAATGTCATGGGAATCAGTTAGCTGATTCTGTAAAGCACTTGTATAGAGTAAATAACGAATTAGCGCTGTCACAAAGTTTCAATTCAACCTCCCCTTACGCGTAAGCAGAGATGAATGTAAAGCACCTGGAATCTGCTTCAAATTTAGGCAATCTGGAGAGATAAATCTCACCCTTGCTAAATTTGTTGCTTTGATTATTACAATCTGTGGTATAATTTATCAGTCTGAAGTCTGAAAATAGTCATTAAGTAAGTTATTTGTAGATTTGTAGCCAGAGAGACAGGGGCATGACATGGTGAGGCTCTTACATCTCCCTGCTACTGATCCTATTGGCGTGGTTTTTTCCACTGAGGTAATTAATAACGGTGCTTGACTGCTGTCTATCGTGGAGATTCTGTAATTTTTGATAATTTATTTAGTTCCTCCTTTAGGTTTCGTGAACACCTAAGGCCCCGCCTTTGTATTTCTTCTACGCGCATGGGCTTTGGGCCATGCCAATAGCCCCATTCCTTCTGCACATCGGCATTACACATTCTATCCTGGTATTATGACTTCTTTTGTCTTCAGGATAGGATTGGGGGGCTACATTAGTGGTAGCGTAAAGCAAATCCCATCTCAAAGGATAAACTACCTTGATTCCGACTACTGGATGCTAAACCTTAACTCTACGTAAGAAGGGAAAGCATTACTGTTATTCCCTAACTGAAGGGTTAAAAATGATGTGGACTTTCAGCACCCACTAGGGCTTTACATTCTACAAGAAAGCTATCAACAACTAAAGCAACAATAGCCGAAAACCACTTTGAAAAGTTTGGTTCGGAGCCGTCTTCGGTACTTATATGAAGATGCGGCACCTCCTCCACCACTCTATCAGTGGGACAGAACCCAGGTAGATGTGATTGGACAGCTCTGAAGCAGAAACCAAGTGTCGAGGAGGAATAGAGGCGAAATCTTATCTCCATGGAACTATGTTAAACTCGACCTTTTTTATAGGAGTTCATTTGTAGGCCAGTGCTCCTACGGCTAGCAACGGACATAAATGATATCCTGCACATTTAGCCTTCCCTAATAGAGTTTTAAAATAAGAAGAAACTCTAGATCCAGTGGGACTGCCAAGAGGGGCCAGTGACTTTGCGGTCAATCATCTCCTCTATCGCTAGAGCATTCAACGACTGGTGCTGATGATTTGTGGGTGTCACTTACAGTGCTGTCGGCTTTGTGATGACCGATGCAGGAGGGTTGTACCGGGAGCGCTGAGTACGACGCTCAAAAGGTGAGAGTGACTGCGTAGTGGTTTGATTATTCTTTCAGCTCTTAGTTTTGGTTTTGCGAGCATTGATAGATATGGACTCTATGCTATCACCAGACGGCATGGTCTTCGCACGAAGTTACTAGCCTCTTAGCGCTCAAGTGCGCCTCTGATAAACTTTATTTCTCTGAACTATAACGTTTTTCGTATTTATGGACGACTCAGGTCTCTACACCAATATTTTTGCCCAAATACAGACTTTAACAAGAGCTACTAATTAAAATATGCTATAAATGAAGGAAATGAAATGAAAGATATGCTTCTCATTAAAAGGTTAACCAAAATGCTGCCTCAGTCAGCCGTTTGCAATGACCCTCAGCCTTGTCTTCCATTACACAGTAAGTACACAACGCATTTTACACGACTACGTCTAATAACCACATTCTGTTAGCGCTGATTCTATTCAATCCATGAGGCACGTTTCACTGCAACACTATGCCTCTCCAGCAAACTACAAACTACCTCCCAATTGACGATGAACCTACGCATCGAGGAGATGGATGGGATTGTGATTGTCAGGGGAATGCGTATTCCATCACATACCATTACAACTGCTCACCACAATCCCCATCATCTGTGATTGCATTAGCATATTCACACTGACATACGCGGTATTTGGTTATTTGGCATTAACCACCTCATACACTGCACCAAAGTCCACACTCACATGCATGCATCATTGGCAAAAGTAGACCATATAGCTGGTCTCGTCTGACCGACAGGCTTCCATGTTTGAGGGGAAAAGGAGCAACCAATGCTTGCAGTGGACACCACGTAGAAATGAGCGTCATGTTTGTTTGACTCACCTGTGCACAGGTTGGCTTGGATTGAGGCGACTTGGGAGACGCACGCGTCGTGTGGGTCACTGGGCTGGTGTGATTAAATTGTATCTTAGGTTTGCTATTGACACAGACCGATGAGTGAAGAGATTTCAAAAGTTACTCATAACCTGTGGATTTAAATACGAAAGTCCAAACTTTCACATTTTGAATTAGTTCTCTTGTTAATGAAAGGTACCTTTTGATTTCGAAATAGAATTCGAACTGTCAAAGGTGAAACTTGTGAAAAACATGGGCATAAAAGGGGGCGGAATTTAATTTATGGCTTTTGAAAGTAGCCACACAGACGGCGCTTCAGCTTGAAACAATGATGTTGTAGCCTGTCAAGAAATACATAAGCAGAACCTTGCATAATGACAAAACTTGTTCAACTGTTGCAAACTACAACAACCAGTAGATGGCCCACGAATTGATGGCGCATTTATTGCGCGACTGATAGAATTTGCATGACAATAGCAGACAAGAAAAGGGACAGAGCTAAGAAGCAGGAGAGGCTGTCGGAGAATACCAGATGGCAAAAGAGAATAGAGTACTTAAAGAAGGAATCCTTTGAATCAGCCAGCTGTACTTTGTGACATAAGATTCCGTTTGTATTTGCTTGTGATGATTTTTATAGTTATATTTCCACACATATAATAATGCATTCAGAAAAAAAGCCATCTCATGATGTTCTAGTTGTTATGACAACCGATTTGCGGTGAATAGTAGCATATAAAGCTTAGTGTGGTGGGTAGCTGAATTTCCGGGATGAGTAAATGCTTTGCGGATTTGGAGCCGTCAATCCTGGCAATGCTTAGCAAAATGCAACATTTCAAGCCATAAACAGCTTCCTATTCATCCAAGATTGACGCCTTTTGAGTAGAGATGCGTTGCGTCACTGGAATGTGGAATGATAGGTTTTGTAAATGACTGAGATGTGACAATTGAATGACGAATGAAGAAGAGGAAGGAAACAATCACATGGCTACAACGGAAATGCAGGTGACAGATTTACAACAATGTTTTTTTCCTCTGTTTGATTTTCCATAGCATCAAAGCGTACGATTAGAGAATCGTGATTTTTCAGAGCGTTTCCACCCACCCACAAATTATTTTAGCTGTGCACTCAATTGCCTTCGCTTAGTAAAAAATGTCCCCATCTACTAGTCCAATCTGTATCCGTCTATCCATACCGCATATGGCCATGTTTCACACAAAAATCATTGATGGATATTTGGAGTACGTAAAATTAGCTATTTAGGTGACAACAATTACAGGTGTGTGTGCGTGTGTGACTTCTAACTGAAGTTAATTGCTAAACGGCACCGGTAATCTCCCCCCAAATAGAGAGCGGAACAAGCACTTGAGATGCATAATTCTACTAGATCTCCAAGCGCCCCTTCAATCCATCAACCAGGACCGTACGCTAATTTGCATCAGCTCATTCCTTTCCTTCCCTCCCCATTATATTACACCCATAGAGCTGCAAAAACACTGCCAATTGAGATGCTATATGCAGCTGCTAGCCCTGTGGTGATTGCATCCGCTGCCCTCGATGATGTCACTTAAGCATTTTCTTCCATGTCAAGAGACATTGTCAATCGCTTTCTACCCACCTTAATTAGCCGTTGACTGTGGCAGTCAATCATATAGACCATTTCCGCGTACCATTCGTCAATTCTCAACAGGACAAACGACTCACTTCACCTCAAAACTCCGTTCAATCGCCACTTTCCGCGAGTGTCGCTTGTAATCAGATACACTGCTGGCATTCAGGATGGATGAACCCATAAGCATTGGACAGATAGATATATAGAGCAAGGGTTACCTTACAGTTCAGATATGGTATGGATAGACGGACACTGATTGAACAGGGAGATGGAGAAATTTTGAATAGGTGGGGATGGATGTTGGCATTTGAATACAAAGTTCAAATCATAAAGGACACTCTGCAGGAAGAAATTCCCTCAAACTCTGCACCCATCTAACCTGACGCAATGGTGTGGAATTGAAGGACCAAGGCGTATTTACAGAATGTTTTGTAATTTGACTTTTGAAATAAAAAAGTTTCATTCTTACACACTCTGAAGGAGAAAATGATTTGCATTGTAGAGGGGTGGCATGCACCAGTGGTTCTGTTAAGGGTGGGCAAAAAATTATTCAGGAATGACTGGAAGCACGAAAGACATCCGGCAAAAGATGCTGTATCCGCATCTTCCCTTGCCTCGCACTCTTAAGGCATTGCGGTGAAGGTGTCCATTTCATGAACTATGCAGAATTGGTTGCTTGGTAAACGCTGTTCTCTCCGCATCTTCGCAATTCGTTCTTTGGGCGGTTCTCGCACAACACAGACACAATTCAACTGACGCCAACGTTGACATATGTCACAGCAGTAGCGCGTCTGAACGTACGCAAAAATGCCGACGCTGAACATACCAACAAAGACGACGAAGACCTTCAGCCAGAACTGCCAATTGCGTTCAGAACTCGATATACCGGTGGATGACAGATTGGAAATGAGAGCGTAGAGCGCCCATGATACACAGGCTTGGATTAGTAGGTAAATTGTGATAAAACAGAAGAGTTTACGCAGGTGCCGACAATCCATTAAAAAAAATTTCCACTGAAAAGTTGAAAAAAAAATAGGTGACTATTTACCGTCCCTGCTCAAGAAGTTTTCCACCATTTGATAAATAAGAAGGAGATAGAATAGCAAGCTGAATTGATAGGTGGATCAGTGATGAATGGATGTGTAGTGTACGGATAGGTGGGTGGGCAAAAATTTAAAATGCAGCAATGGGCGACTTACTTCTAAGCAAATGGAAAGATTTATGAGCGAAGTATATTCGAAACAAACTCAACTAGCTTAGATATCGAGTAGATGGTACTGTGAGAAGTTGCTTGATAGATAGTTTCATCGAGGAATCAATGAACTTAATAGACATGTTCAAGATTCAGCCTTACTTTTCACAGCCTCACCTCTCTTATCGGTTTCGTGTAACTGCGCGTCTCATATTCAAAATGGCACAGTTCACACCTCCTCAACTGACTGATTTCAATCCAACGTTGAACACACTTTTCATGGACATATTTCAAACTCCCATCACACAGACACGGTGCAATTAGTCGTCCACACGAATCCAACGCCACGTCATTTGTAGATTCGTGGCATATTCGACAAAAGGGGAAATCACAATTGGAAATGCTGGCTGTTGTTTCAATTTTTTGAGGACTTCCTGTTCCATGCGATGCTAGACGGGGAGACACAGAAGCAGTGGTAGGGGCGTTGGGGGAAGTTGATTTCAACTTTTTTTTGGCTGGAGCGGAAAGTCTAAGAGAGGAACGAAGGAGGGTGGTGAATCGGCCACTTGAAGTTCCGATCCATTCTCGTGATTGCCTTGGTTCCTCCTCTACTACTTCGGCCATCTATTGCATGAATCGCAAGTCAACTTCATAAAAATGCACGAAATGGAATAGTAAAACAATTACCGAACCTCGGTCATCTAAAAAAGTCACATTCCAACATTTAAATGATTCAACACATGCCCACCCAAAAATTTCCAATTTCTGGTGAAGTAAAAATCATTTGCTGCCTGAAATACTTCGCCATAATAAACACTAGTAGAACTGACTACCCCAAGCCACTAAAGCATTTGTACTCAGTAAAACTTCATCTACCTATCTACTACACCTAGCACTATTGCTGATAAATAGACCAAATTCGCTGTCATAGCAAGAAAATTATGCGGTGGCTTTCCCAAGAATGTATCATTCTGTGTAAGGAAATGTCAAAACACTTAAAGTATTGCGAACAAAGCCTTCCATCAAAAAACGCATTATTGAATGAATAAATATTGGCCAATACACCAAGCGAATTCATGTGAGTGGCGCGTATGCACCGATTAACAGAGCTCCCTCATGCGCATAAGTATTCTCTAATCACTTGTGAGACCGGATAACAAACTTCAATATTTACAAAAAAATGAGGTCTAACAAATCAACTTAAAGTGATAAGAAGTGGAGTTTATCGCAAACATTACCACCGAGGGGCTCTATGGACTTCAAATTTTAGGGAGAATTAATCAATTAATGATTCAGAAGATATCAACCTATGAAAATGCAAAGTACCTGTTCATAATAGCAAGGTGAAGTAACGTATTTAGATGCCAAATGCTTTGGAGAAAAGGAGACTTTGCCAATAGCAGCATATGAAATATTAACACGAAATTCAAATCAACATACGTGATGGTGCACCACCTCCTTACGTTCACACCCACATTTCCCATTCTCCTCTGACCCATCCGAACCGTTGCAGTGTAGCTTTCTATCCATTCAATTTTACGATAGATATTTACCTGAAGCTCATCACAAAACAAAAAGCAACAAAGTTATGAATGCAAAGGACCGACGAAAATTTGGCCAAAAAATAAATACCTTTCTACACGCTTAAACAAACCACGGAGGAAAATTAATAAATCTGTTTAGGTGAAAACCCTTGCATTCATGCAAAATAGATTAAAAGAGTTCGCGCCAAATTGAGCATTACGAAAATTGACTAGGAAGCCGATCAAAAGATTTGTTACCAGCTTTGGGCATAAGTTAGCAGAAGAATCACGAGAAGTTTGCAGGCTCTACCTGTTTCCACCTCAAAATAACACTAGATTGCAGTGCATTTTGATAATTTTGTATTACTTTGGCGAAAGCAACTACCTAATTTCGAAAAAAATATTTGTCACCGATTTGGCTTTACAATGTCGCCGACTTTTTATCTTTTTTTTAAATAAGTGAATCTATGCTAAACAATTGTGTGATTACTTGTGATTTAAGGATACCAGTAGATTCTTATTGAATCTAATTCCCGAAATTATAATGAAATATTTAGACTGTTTCGAGAACCTACTTATAGTTTGTACGCTTGCACCTAATCTCGTATTTTAGCCTCCCCATCCACAAAATTCCAGAACCACCTCATTTCTCCAAGGCATTCTGCTCGACTCATCTTTGTTTCACCATACACTAGAGCATGTACTAGATTAATCAATGGCAATCTGCCCTTCAGCGACTCCGTGTGCATGCTGATCGTGGGCTACGAAGTTGGTGGTGGGGAGTTGACATTTGCACATCGATAATATCTGGATAGAGTAAGAGGCAAACCAGAAATGCTTATTTCCTTAATATTACCCATGGGCTCTGGCCGCCATATCCGCGATCCTTGAATTATTCGTACATACTGGAGTATCATTGGAAAATCTTTTTCCTTTTAGGTTACATCCCTATTACAATGCCGGTGAGTTAGTAGCTCCACTCATTACTTAACCTCGTACATTTATTTCCTCATGTCTGGCATTGGCGCATTTTTTTTCTCACTTCGTAGTTGTTTGATCTCCTGCTGAGAGCTAGGTTAACAAACATCAGTGAACTGTCTCCTTCTGGCGATGATTTTCAATGGTGCCTTAAGGTAACTACGCATCATCACGAGTACTTCTTCTCTGAATCTAGGTAAAATGCAGCAACTGCATGGAGGTGCATGATAAATGGGTCTTCATTTGTGCTCAAAAGCATGAGGCAATTAAGGGCTCCAGGGGATTTACCAACCTGAAGCTGAAGTGCCGATTCTGTGGTCGTGAGAATTCGGCAGGTTTGTTGTCATCTGGGACCCCGAGTTCAGCACTGCTGAGCTTATTTTGATGTGTGATTTCTGGGGCTTACTTTCCATTTGAAGACGTTAAATATGCCACAGTATGTTAGAACATTTGGCCGCCTGTAGTTTAGCGCATTTCAGAGGTATTTGCCTCTTATTGCTATGCATTGAATTTCAGTTTAACTGCAAGTTGATGCTCTGTCTGTAGGGTCGAGATCCTTTCGTTTTAAAGTGCATTGATGGAGGAGTCAGCTCACCTGATACCGCCATTGCTGGAGCAAAGATACCCTGTCTTTCCTACAAATACGTTTGTTGCTCATGCTGTTGTAGTAAAGACAGTGTTCAGTTGAAGTGTTTTTATTGGACAAAACCCACTGAACCTAAAATGTTTGGGTACTTTGATGGAGCATTACACATCCAATGTTGAATTATTTGATTTGACGCATTCAGATGTAGTGGAGGGGAGTGTAAAATCCTACAAAGAGGAGGACTCGGAGAAACTGCGACCAATTGTTCGCTTTGAATGTCGCGGAATGGAGCCGCAGCAATTCTCGCTTCGTGATGGCTGGCGGGCCGTTTCCAATTCCGATTGTGCCACTGTCTTCTCGGATGTTGATCTAACCGACGGAGTGAGTCAGAGTTCCCTAGATTTGTCTGCCCATTTAAATGACATAGCTGAAGTGTTGTTCTTAATCAGCTTCACTGAAATTACAGGAATGGACGGACTATGATGAAGACGGTGAATGCTGCGTAGAGATACTTGAAGTGCAAACTGAAATCAAGTCGGTGTGTTAAGGCAAAGTCAATTGAAGACATCAGTATTATTGTAAAAGATTTGTTTTAAAAGTGCGGTTTTTGAACACTGAGGGTAGGACAGTATTCAACAACGAGTGTCCTTCTGTTTGCGGCTGCAGTCGAAGCGTGGAATTCGATCTTGTCATTCTGACAGCGGTTACGTCTACCCAGCCAGATGATGAAGTCGAATGTCATGGTTTATGCCCAAAAGTTGGGTCTTCCTTCTGATGTCTTTCACTACCTCTCAGAAAAATTGGAAGTTGTAAGTGTTGAAGCAATACTTACTTGCAAATGACAAGTGGTGGACGCTTTTGGTTCTATGCAACTCCAAATTTGTAATGTCTACGAGATCGGGTATTCCAATCCTTCTGCTTACTATCGTTTGGGCGGTTGAAAATCCTCACCTTCCGTCCACTAAGCATGTCAACACGTACGATTTGAGGTCACGGGGAGGATCCGATTGACAGCTGATACTACCAATTCTCCTTCTCCAGGTATTTGTCTGGTATCAGCAAATGAATTCTGTCGTTCGCACCACAGATAAGTAGCTGGAAGTATGTGGAAGGTTAGTATTATAGCTTGATAGAATTATGCACCGCGAGTACTTATTCCGCTTTATTCGTGGGCTAAATTAGCCGTGTGATTTAGTATTTCGTCCAACCTAGAAGTCACACGCGCATATGCGTACATAAATAGATAGCTGCCCTCGTCTGGCTGGCAGCCTTCCACGTTTTACGCACAATTGACATCGCTTCGTTTTCGACTCGCTTTGACCGATGGGACTTGCCGGATCTCTTACTCACGGAGTTCCACGCTCTGCGTGCGTCAATGCCTTGAGGGCACTGAATGTGATTGTATTGTCGCTTTACCTTGGAGGATGTTGTCAAAGGCCGTTCGCGAAGTTGTGCAAGTTGGTGTGTGGCTAACTCAACGGCAGGGTATTTGCAGACCCCATGAGACTATGCGGCGCGCATTCTACGCATTCTGCAATTCGGAATTGAAAGATTAATTTAGTAATTTGGCACACTAAGAACTAACGCATGTTCCCCTATGGTGTCCTTCCTCAACCTTTGAATAATGTTGGCTACAGTTTAGTAAATATCGGGAGGAGGAGGGAGGGGGGGAGGGACAGAATCTTTGACATGAATGCAAGACTGGAGGTAAAGTGTAAAAGTTAGCAGTTGAACAGGCTTTCAAGTGGGGATTCACGCATTATCATTGTGAAGTGCGGTTCCTGTGATCTGCATGGAATGCTTCGTGGACGAATCAAATTCAAAGGTGCCAAGTGACAAGGAACTTAAGGGGATATTTGACTCCAAATTCGTCTATGGATACGCTCAGTGAGTACACAGTTAACTATCTTGTTGACATATGGTGGGTGTGTGTGTGTTACTTTTAACTGCTAGATGACAAGTACTCGTGATGCATAATTCCATTAGGCGTCCATCTTCTTCCACTTTAGATAGCAATGCCAAACATTTACTACCCACTTCAACTAGCTGTTGGCTATGGCAAACGGCGGTGTAGGCGGTTTCCACCCTGCAGTAGTCAATTTCAGTGGAAAAGACTAACATAGTCCACACATAACCTCATCCAATAGCCACCTCTCACGAGCGCTGATTGCATTCAGTTACGTCACTTGCATCCAGGATGAATGAGTGTATCCATTCGGCTAGAAGGGTACTGATCAGACGGAGAGATGGAGCGCTGTTAAATAGGCGGGGGCAGTTGAATAGCAGGTAAAGTTATAAAAGATACTCTGTAGGAAGAAACTCCCTCAAACCTTGCATACTGATGTGAGACTGAAGGGCCAAAGCATTTTTGTAAAATACTTTACAGTTTTTGACTGTAGCATTGGAAAAGGTTTCCAGAGTACACAGTCTGAAAAAGAAGAAATGAAATGGCTTACAGAAAGGTTACATGAATTATCGGTTCTAAAATAGGTGCAAAAACAATGTTACAGGAGTGACTGGAAGCACGAGGGGCATTTAGTAGAGGGCACACCGTTGCTGTCTTTCCTTTCTTTTCCAACTTCAAGAGAGGGTAAGGCAATGGGAACGCAGTTATTTCTACCATCACAGTGACGACAAAAACTCAACGGCATTGTCATAACGATGCAGAAAAACAGGAAACAGAATTTCAAAGACAATCTATACATGGGGACAAGGCTCGAGATGCGAGAAAGGCAACAATATCCAATGGGTAAGATAGGGGAGAGGATTGGATATTTCTGGCTAGCTTCTTATGCTACCAAAGTAGTAACCGTCTGCGGGTGTTGATTTTTAAAAACCACTCTTGTGCCCCCGATTTCATGCAAGACAGGGAGGCGTTTGTCACACAAAACAAAGCCTGGAGCTGTTAAAACACAAATAGATGCTGGTCAATCTCGCTATAGCCACCCGGACAATCCCATTCTCGCATGTTCATCGTAAAACCCTTGCGAACCAACCAGGCCATATCTGATTATTGATAACTTCCCTTAAAAAGACGGGTGAGGGGGCTGAAATAAAAGATAAGGTGCACAGATAAGAAATATTCGCGGATTTACCACGTGGTATATAAATTCCACTATTTAAACAGTGCAAACATGAGTAAAAAAGTGGTGAATTTTAATTTACTTTACAATTTATTTAATATAAGTAAGTAAAATGCAAGTGTTGCACAGCTAAGGCAAAAGACTAGAGAAAGATTTTTTAGTAGAGCAAATACCAGCAATAATTTAGTCCAAAGTTCTGAGTTTGTTTTGAAAAACGAACAATGGCAAAACGTCCTCAGGTGGGGTGAAAGTATTTCTTCACGTTACCTTTGCTGTCACAAAAAATCTGGCAACAAAAACAGTAACAAATCGCATAATATGCCTGTTGATTAATTATGGTAATGCATATCTTATTTCGAAAAATTAAAATCAAGTGGTGACAGAGGAAAACTATTTTTAGTTCGTTCTATTAATTTCCATTTTAGGTTGGCTGAGTGTGCAGTTTAGTACCATTCGAATTCCCGTCGCCTTTTTAAAGTCATGGTTTGGCGCTGTGGTTTGTTTCTTAAAATGGGCTCCAAGTAAGTGCTTGCTGTAGAGTTTGATGGACGCAGTTTTACACCAACGATTTAGATGAACTGGAGGAGACTTCAAAGCAATGCCGAATATAACGAGGTGGTCGTCATCACGCAGGTAAATTTTATTTTAACTATGCCAATCCTTTCATGCACTATTATTAAGAGCTTCATTTCTTTTCAAAATATTTTATTTTTATACGAGCTACTTCGCCTTGCTCCTTTAAACAAATACCCCAAACTATTTGCAAGTTAATATCTGTCGGATCTTTAATGCATGGGTTCTTTGCAACACTTAGTGGTACTGCTTCCGCTGATACTCCCTACTTATTATATTTCTTTATTTGTTCGACTACATTGATCTGTATGAATCAAGGTCCTACCAATCTTCCATATACATATTCTCGCCATTCCATTTTCGGCACTTTGTGTCACCATAGTACCATGTGTAATTTGTGGCGGAGAGTACAACAGGAGTGTAAATGTTTTGTTCCTTAGTTAAGGGAAAGCAAGTGCATGCTTTAATCTTAGAATCTTTGTAAACTAATCTGGACGCAGCAGGCAGAGGCTAGAATGTTGTGAAGAGGTATCTTGGTTCATGCCCTTCACTTACTCGACTCGAATTGCTATTTTAGGATTGCGACAGTTAATGTCAGCATGCCTCACATTTGTGTTTGTTCTCGCTGTTGATTGGAAGAATGCGTATGGGCAGGGAGTGGAGGTTTGTTATCCAGTGCGAGCACATCCCTTGCATTAATTTGCTTGGCATGCGGCGGCAAATGTTTATTCGTTTTATAATGCATTTTCTGTCAGAAGGATCTGCTTGAGATAGTTTTTCAATATCTGTTCTTCCTTACATAGAATAATACGTTCTTGGAATAGCTAGCTCACTTTCCCATTGTTATGACAACCTGTTTGCGGCCTTTGGGAGAATGCAAGGTTCAGTTTGGTAGATAGATAAAGTTCTACAAAGAGCAAATGCCTTGGGGACTTTGAGTCGTTGATCCTGTCAATGTTTATCAAGGTGTAACATTTTAGGTGGCATTTGGTTTATTTTTTTCCCTAGATTGGATCGTACCGAGTAGGAGTGCGTTGGATCACTGTTATATGGAATGATGAATCTTGGAGATGGCAGGTTTTACAGTTGGTTAAGTTAACAATGATTTTCATAATATACCGCGATGCTCGCAATAGACGGCCGCCGCGGAAGTGGAAAATCGGAAGTAATCATGCGGCTACGACAGAACTGCAGGTGATGGTTTCCCCCACCTTCACTCGTTTCTCTATTCGTCATTCGGCTGCAAGCGAACAAACGTTGTAGCCATTTTCCTCCTACACCTTCACCACTTCCTCTCTCCCCCCACCTAATGTCGCATGGCCCTGCAAATTTTTAGTTTTGTATTTCTGATCACCATTTACAGTTATGGCTTTTCCTTTTTTCGCATGTGTCACGAATCAAATGATTCCACAAATGGTATGTAGCTGGACCCATGTGAACGATTAACTGTGTCGAGCCTGTGTAAAGTGTAAAGTACGACCGTGAGAAGTGTATCCAACGTTGGGTTGAAATTCGTTAGTTCCATTGTTGTGGCAAGAGATTTGCAGTATTTAGCTGCACGTGACGCTCAGTGTAGTGAACTGAAGTTCTACGGTGAGTGAATGCTTTGCGCACTTAGAGCAGTCAGTTCTGTTACTGTTTACCAGTGGGTAACATTTCGGGCGGCGAATGAGGGGAAACCTGAGAGGATGTAAGATATTTTTTGGGGAAGTGCGGTGTTAAGGTTGCTTAGGATGATGCACGCGTGCCATTCAATAAGTGGCCATTTACTGGACAAAGTTTTGCAAAGCCATTACTTGTACATAGTGGCTGTCGGAGCACTAATTACCTTCGCTTTAAAATAGTGCTATTGTTAAGCCGTTAACAATGCCGCCGAGTAAGGAGGAAGTGCCCCAAATGAGTGGATGCAGGCTGATGATACGGGATTAACAGTTGCTGCAAATTTTACTTGAATGCGAATTGGGTCATGTGAGATGGGCTTTCTGGACGCGAACTTCTCTTCTACTCTGAGTACTGTCTGGACACTAAATGTATTCGGGTCATCCTATGAATTCGTCTATTCGCTCACATATTCCTTTATCTGCTGGTGAGTTTGAGTCCCACACACCGACATTCATTATTTGGACGGAGGTAAGGCGAAGCCACCCGTCAGGTCACGGGACTGCAAGCACAATTTACCCAAGGCAGCAACCTGCTCAACTGAAACTTTCAACAGCACAATTCACTTGTTCGTAATGGGACGTGATTGTCGTGAAATGGGAAAATTTTGACGAACCCTTTCAATATTCATCATCAAGTGTGAAAGAATGAAGGCGTGAGTACGTGCATACGTACACATCCAGGCAACGGTAAGATCAGACACTTAGGTAGTGTGCGCCTTCATAAGTTATTCACTTGCTTTGATTCGACCTCCGAAAATAGCAAATAGAGAACTCGAAGAGCATGTCGAATCTTGTGGCGTTTGGTGGTCAGTTATCACATTGCTTGCCCCACAAAGTCCATTACTCCTCACTCGACTGAGGTGACGCATTTCCGGTTAGCACTAGGTCACTTCTTGATTGTACGTACAAGTTGGCAGACAGATTTGAGGAACCAACTTCAGTTATCCACTGCCTCCATATTAGCGAACATCACTTGGGACCGTTCTATCCCAGTTGCGGGGACTGTGTGTGCAGTGGCCTACGTGGAGGCAGTCTGTCAAGGATTATCACAATGTTGAGATGTCGTTTTGGCCATTACAGTTAACAAGATCACGGAATTGGCCTTTGAGATGGCCATAAATGCCTTTGCCAATGCTGCTGCTATCCACATTTTGTGATCTCTCTAGGTGATTATAGCAGCCGTTTGATTGGTAGCGATCAACCTGTAAATACTGTTGGAGCCTGTTTCGTAAGCTCTTTAGATGTGAGCCATGGCGTTGACACCTTTATTCCTCACGAATTTATTACTTCCCCTCCCTGAGGCATTACTTGATTTGGTCAATTACAATTCGTGTGCAGTGGTACATCTTCGAACTTACAGTACTAAGGTCACTTTTTTTTTCTTGACAAAGAAATGCACACGTTAGTTAAGGAAAGTAGCTTATGCCACAATGGATTCATTTTTTGCAATCTCTCCACTCATAGAGTAGTGTTGCCTACTTTTTCATCCTATTTGCGTGATTTTACCGTCCTTAAGTATAAACGACTAGAACAAGCATTCTTCTGTCGTCAAACCTCTTACCATCTCTTGTTGGTAAAGGCTGGGATCCTCCATGCTCATATTAAAAGCCATGAGGGACGAATTTTCGCTAAAAACTAAACCACTGATGTCGAATGAAATTGTACTGCTATTGAATGAATGAATTGAATGAAATCCAGTCAATTGCTGATGTTGTGACAAGACTGAACAGTAGTGAGGATAGTAGAGTAGGTGCGTGGATTCAGCAGCTCTGACATTTTCCGCAGGCTGCAATTCCACCTAGTGAAATGAATTCCTGGTAATGCCTCTACTGCGTGTTCATTCACAGTACTTAGGCTGATTACGAATTTAAGGAGGACACGGCGCAGCATATTAATAGTAAAGGGAAGCAAACCCAATCCAAACAAATAGATGCTTTGTCTCCTGTGACAGAATACAAAATCTTACCAGTATAGCAAAGGGGTTCTGCCTGCGGATGAGTATTTCTGTGTCGATTCTCAAGCAGAAGTGTTACATAGGACGTCTACCTTTGATTAATGTCCCAATCCCTTGTACTGTATGACGGCTATTAACTGCCAAAGTGGGTGGTTTGCAAAGTACCAACTACACTGCGATGGCCGAGATGGATGATTGACCAGTAGGAAGCGTCGGGGGCAGTAGGCAAAAGGAGAAAGAGAGGGTGAGGGGACTTTGGTGAAAGCATAACAAGGAAATCCCCTAAATTCGCCTATGGCTCACTTTTACAAGCTTAATTCAGTCATCAGAAGAGTTCAATTTTGTTTGTGGGGAGATTACGTTTCAACTAAATTAAAATAGTTGATTCCCCAGTTTGGGAGTTAAAAAGTTGAATCAGGGAGTTCAAACCATTTGTTCTTGATGATTGGCTGTATCTTCCATTGAAAAATAAGCCAAATTCGTGTAAATATAAAGTCACACTCGTAAGTTTAATGGGTGAATTTGCTTTACGAATGAATTGGAATAAGTACTCATGGTGCATAATTTTATTGGTCTCTCTAATTTTACCTTCCTACATTAATTTAGTTAAGGAGGTTCCTCGAAACTGTTTGTCAACTTGTACGTATCGTGAAGAAGTGGATCAAAACTGGCTGAAGGCATGCCGTCTTATTCGAAAAGGGGAAATGACTTTTGTGAGGTAACCAATGTGATGACTGACTGTCAATCACTACGATCCTCGTCATGCATTTTAATTTCCCATTACGCTATTTTCGGAGGTCGAATCAAAGCAAGTGTATAACTTATGAAGGCACACACCACTTAAGTGTCTGGCCTTACTATAATTCTTCTCCATTCATCTAGCAAAATAAATAGCATTAAAGTTAGCTGTGTTAGTAAAAAAACTTACTGGCTCCCATTCTGGAACAAAATGCCTTTTCATTAGAGCTGTGTAAGCCCTCATAAGGTATGCAAATTTGACTTACTGGATCGGGAACACTTGCACCATCCTCTGAAGGCGGCGCCAATTTCACCGAAACATCCCATGCATCAAATTGGCATCAGTGATATATTCGTAGCGGGGTGACAAATTATCGAGGAAATAACTACAGAATCAGCAATGTTATTAATGCCTTGTATATCAACCTATTATTCAAGCATATTTACTAAATTATTACTTTACAATAGGGATGGAGCAATTGCGGAAATTTGCGTTCACCCAATGGTAAAGCTCATTTAATTGTGTAAACTCCTATGACTTAGGGCAGTTGACTGACACGAATCATGCGATTGCAATGAGCTCACTCACGTTACATGTAACAGACGGGAGGGATGGAGGGAACCGTAAGGCTTTGAAGTAGAAGTAAGCAGCCTTTCCACCGCTCTCCCTCGTGGCTCTGCAATTAATCGTTCTCAAGATAAAAAAATGTCAAGTATATCTCCCTTCATCAGTGTCACCATGCCTCCCACGTATCAACAATCAGTACCGACGAGATGGATGCCTAGTTAAAGTTGGAATGGAAGAGAAAATAGCTCATTGGTACTTTAGAAGAGTAGAATCAATCACTACCTATCGCGGTCATAGCAGAATATTTCGTGGACCAACCTCCTTTGCCAATGCCAAATAAAACCGAACTTGAGGGAAGGTCAGGCTCGAAAACCATAGATGGTAGTGCTTGGTGAGTACACAAATTTCTGTCTCGTTGACAAACATCCCAATTATGCATGAGTGTATGTGCCCTCTAAGTAGGATAAGCATCTGAATGACAGAGGTCATTTGGATTGGCAAAGAGAGTGGAACGAGTACTTGTGATGCATAAGGACATCAAGCTTCCACTTTCCCCAGCAATGCGTCACACACACCGCAATCACCAAATCGAACCGCCACTTAACAACCCTAAAGTGTTGCTGTGAGAGCCGTACAATGAATTTATCTCGTGGTTCGGCAGAATTTATCATGCTCACTGGTGGGGAACCAACAGGCCATACATCAAGTTGATCCATGTTCTGGCTGCAGTGTATACCAAATCAAGTCTTGGAGGAAAAAAGCGAGTTGCAGACAAAGATGGTAGTCATCGAATGATTTTTGCCAGAGCACAACTGATTCCCTCCACTTTCCAGGCATGGATCTAAAATTGATGAAACAGGAAGTATTAGGTGGTGGCATCCTCGGGCAATAGCACAGTTCTACCATCAACCGTTCCTTCCGATTATCAAGTTATTAAAGTCAAACGTCTAGGAGCATCTTGCGCCGCACTTACGTGTGTCAAATAATGCTATTCTCAAATGGTTTTTAAGGCCCTTGAATCAACCGATGAAATCCCCACTGAAGCCGATTACATTACAGTCAGTTGGACAAGCTACTGCAAACAACCATCAAAGTGGTGAAGCGATTACAGAGCAGGGAAAGGCGACAAAATGCCACCAAAACAATAAGGCAATCAAAAGTAGGATGGTGGTACTGCAATTGAAGTACATGTCAGTCGATTAGACTGAAAATGACAACGCTTCCGATGAACGAAAACAATTATTATGCCCCAAAAATTGCGACAATGAATTGGTTGTACGCGATAAATTTCCCAAGGAAGATAGACAAATGAAGGGGGACTGACAATGTTAGATTAGAAATTGCTAAAATTACACTTTAGGAAAGCGGATTGGGTGATGTTAGGCAGGCATGAGTACGGTGAACATTTACTCCAACATAATCGCCATCACAGCTCAGATTTCGGTCATCCTGTTCTCCACATTCCCTCACTTGTTTGTCAGCTGATTCTCTCTGCCAATGGGCTCGAATCCAACAAATCGACTCTCATTCGGTGCATAGATTTGGAGCGAGGCCATCCAGATAGATACTACAGAGTAGGTTTTGTGAGAAATTGTTTGATGCATAAATTCATTAATGAATCAACATACTGTTGGTACACACGCATAAGACACTTCCCTACTTTCCACAGCCTCACCTCCTCATTCCCTATCGCGTGTCTGCCCATCGCATGACTAAAATGGCACAAAACACTTACTCCCTCATTTGCATTCATTGATATTGGACCACTGCTAATCGTCTGTGTTTATCAATCGAATGCATAATTTCTTGTGAAAAAGAAATAAGTAAGACTGAGTTCTTAGGCAATTTTACAAAATAATGTACAGGATGTACCTCTGATGTTATGACATAATTAGTCATCGTAAAGTAATAAGTTGGTTGTTGAATTGGCGGCCTTAGTGAGGAGCCACTCTTGACCTAGCCTTTGTACCAAGCCAGGTGGGCTGGCCTTCGAGCCGAGCCAGTAGCCATGGTAACATGTATTTCTTCAAATATGTATATTCTACGTGAGTACTATGTCTTCTTTTGTCCTCAGGGAAGTCTCAGTAGGCTACAATAATTATAAAGTCAGAGATGAATAGGACTGCACAAGTTAGTGCATTCAGGAAGCTGTTTGAGTTGCCTGCATTCATTCCATGCTGACGAAATAGCGAACTCAGGGTCAAACGAAACTTAAATCGAGAGCTTGTATTCATCCACGTAGCCAGAGACAACGCCACGTTATTGCAGATTTATGGAGTATAGGCAGCTTTTATAAATCTTCAGCTGCCCTGAGTTCCATGCTTCGTAATATCAAAAAGGATATTTGCACTTAGGATTTCCATTGCGTTGTAAAAAGTCGTTAATGCTGTGCATTAGTTATTTTGACTTTTTTAGAGCAAACTGTACCAATGCGATCATGCTTTAATATTCAAATCTACTAAAAATAGTTTTAATTTGTTTGACTGAGTAGATCAGCTCAAGTATAGGTGCATCCTAATTCACGTACCCATTCGTAATCACTGATTCAGCGTTGCTTTTGCCAGTTTTGAGCAAGTTCCAGGCACAACAATGTCACAACCAACAGATCAAGAGGTGATGCTTGGTATTTTCGAGGATTTGGCTAGCCTGGAAAACATCTTCAAGAATAATGCCGAGGCAGGGAATTCCGGGGTATGTTATTTCAGTGAAAATAATTTTGTGCATGCTATTTCTATAAACTTTAGTTGTCATTGATATGCTTCCTACTTGCGGAATGGTTATGTTGAACGTGTTCATTTCGTGGTCAGATCCCTACTCCATACCTAACCAGTATTTGAAAAAGTTTTGGTTGTCAAATATGTATGTATGCCATCAATGCAATAAATTTGGTAATCTCTGTAGCCTAATGGGTATCTGTGATCAGTTAGACATAACTTTTCCTAGTTTAGATGCTATTCACCTTTATTATGCTTGTCTAGTTACGTTAACTTGCAAATGATAAACTGCATTAATATTTCCTATTTGCATATCCTGCGTCACAAATTTCAACATCACGGTTGTTGTAACCATTGTGTCCTTCAAAAAGCTTATTTTTTGTCTGCTTTTGCTGATTATTAGACAAGCCTGTTCCAGATAAGAACTACTCTGTATGATTGCTAAACAACGCAAGATTCGTGTTGGGGTCACAGGGTTGGTAGTTAAACTGGGTGGCAGGAAATGGGTGCAAAATAGTCCTGAGAAGAAGACGTCAAAGCATGACAGACAGATCTTGATACGTAGGTTGAAAGTTAAGTCTAAGCAAATGCATAGTTTGAATGAGATGATACCGTAATTTAACATCCATTGAATCGTCACCTAATATATGGCAATATTTGAAGGGGTTCGAATACTCACTCGAAGAGCTTGCGATTAATTTCACCGCTGAAAATTCAGCCACATTTACCAAGATGAATTAAACTTTGATTAAATTACCATGTATCTAAAATGGGTGATTTATAATCCATTGACTAAATCGGTGTATGATGCATGATAAAACTGCGACCGTGTGCTCTGCTTTTATTAATTTACAACATCCGACAATGTAAGATCTCATCTGTACTTACCTTAGTAGTAAATATAAGGTTATTAAGTGGTGATATTGTTTGGGTCATTGCAGCGTATTAACGCATGGAAGGAGTAGATGGAAAAGTGGTTATAGGGCTGAGATATGAATATAAAGGGTGCGTTTAAATAAATTATTTGACATTGAGTAGGTGTGATAAGATTGCCAGGGTCGGAACTACTTACAGTCTCTTTTACGAGTAATTTGGGATACAATATTGCTGACCATTTGCAACCTGAATATACACATCACACAATGTCTGAAGTCCTTCACTCGTATCTTGTATGAATTGATAGGTAGTGTTGTATGCGTTTGACTGTAATGCGTACCCACAGTGGAATGGAGATGGGTGAAAACTGTGAGGCAAACAATGTAACAAATGCCTGGCAATACGAGATTTGACACGAATACACGCACACTTCCCTATCTCCATTTGCTATGGTAGGATACAGGAAAATACAAGTTCATACGTTGTGTAGGAACGCGCTACATAGGTGGCTCTTTGTGGTGTTACATGAAAGAACAAGCATGCGTTCATTCATACATGCACTCCTCCTTATACATGCATTCTACACAGACGGTCGTCGTAGAAGAGGAAGAACAGATACCATCAGAAGGACGCAGCAAAACAGGAGGCGTTCGAATTACCATTTCACTGCCTCCCTCTACTCCACCGGAATCAGCAGGCTCAAAAACCTCGCAGTCATCGTCTTCCAATTCTTCAACTACCTCCTCTGAGTCCACCGATATAAGTTCACTCAGACGTCAGGCTGATGAAATGGTTAGCCCTCCGATCTCCATTCCCTCATTCAACTTACCCTGTTGTCGAATCTCCCATGATGCACACTTGGATACTCACGGACGATTAATCGCACCGTGTCTGTGTGAGGGAAGTTTGAAATATGTCCATGAGGAGTGTCTTCAGCGTCAGATTGAAATTGGTCAATTGAGGAAGTGTGAGGTGTGCCAATTTGAGTTTGAGAGGCGCATCTGCGTAAAACCCAAACACGAGGTGAGTTTATGAAATATATGAAAAACTCCTTACAACACCTGCCAAAGTTTCATGGAGTTGTTGATAGGCCTGTGCATCAAGCTATTTTTTTCAAAAACCATCTATTTATTATCAGCACCCGCAAGTTGTACCAAATGTGAATACATAAATTAGCTTGTAAATCTTCTATTATTCAACTCAAAGCCAACTGTCTGTCATTTCACCTCGATTTACTCTCATCTAGTATTTATTTTATATTTTTTTTTGGAATTTGCCCAGGCATTTATCTGCAAAAAGCACAGTGTACTGTTTGCCAATTACCTTTCAGCGAAAGTGTTCCGCGTTCTCCCTTTGGAAGATACCCATATTCCTCGCTTTCCAATGCGTCAGTTTGCTCTACATCGCCCTAGATTTTTGGTTCATTCAGTTTATGGCTAAGTGTTCACCATACTGTACAAGTCATTACTCCGTCGGTCATTTCTGTGTGGCACTTATTTCAACACAGCTTGCTTTATTGTATTTTGCCGGAATTTTCGGCTAGTGGTTTGTAATCCTTTTGCATTGTTAGTAAAAATGGCAACAAGTAGAACACGTCTATGTGGTGCGAGAGCCCCCTAGACAGCAAAATTGCGTGGGTGCGAATGGTATGACGAGATGAGGTAATGGGGTGCCTTCTCTTAACTGTCTTCCAGTCTTTCAGTCACCTCTGAACGTTTTAGTTTTTTTCGCCCATCGCATAACTAACAATGCCTGCCACCCTTCTCTAATTCGTGTCAATTCCCCTCCTTCAGAGTATGTATACGCTTAGAAAGTTTTCATTGTAAAATTCATAAAATGTTGAGTATTTTTGATTCTTCAGTACTAGATAGAGGCATGCGATTAGAATGCTACTGGGTTTGGCATTGTTTCTTCCTACCGAGTATCCTTCATGATTGGACTAGTGCCTTCAGTTGACGCCCACCTATGCAACATTGCACCACCTCTCCTTCTGACCAATATCCGTCTGTCCATACCACATCCGATCATCAATACTTTTCTTGTCTCATGCATTCTTTTGTCAAACATATGAGGATTTATCCATATACCCATTCTGCATGCATGAGCCATATCCGAATGGAGTCAGCGGTCGTGGGATGTAGCTATTGGGCGCATTCACGTATGATTTGCAATGTGCACTCCATGAGAGATTGACGACACTGACGTGGAAATGGTCTCTACGGTGGAGTGCTATAGCTAACGGCTGATAGAAGCACAGAGCAGGCGATTGCCATCGCTACTTGAAATGGATCCGAGTTGGTTAAGGAATATTGTGGAGGAGAGTGAATGCAATCACGGCAAGGCCAGCAACTGCATGTAGAAGCAGAATTAGTGGTGCTTTCGTGGCTGTATGTGCGTAATACAACGTGATGTAGTGTAACGCAAAGGAAAGGGAAGGGTTGATGCAAATCAGCGCATCATTCTGGTTGTTGCATTGAGGTGGCGAGTGGAGGTCAAATGAAGTTTTCCACCGCTAGTACTGGTTTCAATCTCTTCGTAAGGGGAAATTACAGATGTGATGCAGTACTTGATCTTAATCTGTGGCGCTTATCAGTAAGCACATCCAATCCCGTTCCTGCATTCCATCTTTACATGAACACCAATTTCACTTGACATCCTCGAGAGGGACCGGTCCACCTGATATTCTGCACAGACGAAGAGGATGAAGGATTACAATGGGGATGAGTGCTAAATGAATCTACAACTGGGAAAGTCTACTCAACTACTAGCCTTATCATTTCATCTTCGGTTGTGCCTTTTGCTTGGAGCTTCTACCCTTTCGACAACTAGTGAAGGAATAAGCACAAGTGCTAGTAATCTGGTGTTCATTTGATCAGCATCAGTGGAATGCTGTGGAAGAGTAGCAGATGTGTGCGTGGGTGTGTTTATGTGTATGAGCTTTTGGGCATGAGGCAGGCCATACTTCAACACCAAACGCTGTATATGTCAGATTGAATGTGGTAATGCGGTCACAGATAGTGGGGTTTGTGGTGAGCATTCGTAATGGGAATAATCTGTCATTGCATTCTCTTGTGTTTCCTAATGCAGGAATGATGATAGCAAATGGTTAAGGTGTGTTCTACGCCGTTTGTTGTATCTTTGTCGACATCTTCGCGGCTTGGGAGAAGGCACAAGAGCTATCGCTGTTAATCTGACCATATTGTAATCTCACTGACTTCAACCGTTGACAAGGCCTAGAAGTATGAAGCTGCGTAGTAGCTGTCAGTGAATAAAAGTTCCTTTACACTTTCAGTCATTAAACAAGCGTGCCTTCCCATGGTGCGGTTCAAAGACTCATTTTAGCTGAAGAAATGAGGTTGTCACGTCATTGCCTGCAGGAAAGTGGAGAATTAATCTTGCATCAACCAAAACTATTAGCTAAACTATAAGGCTGAAACAGAGGTGGCTATGCGATGGGTGGGTGAATGCGTGTGGGCTGATGATGAGATGTGATGCGCTGTGATGATGTGGATCACGGTGCTTATTCAGCCTTTGCAACGACGTGTGTTTCCATATGGACCAACTTCAAATAAGGTGCATCAGTGCAATTAAGAATACTCGCAGAATTGATTTACCCAATACGATCGGCATTTTGTCAAACTGAGTTGGCTGGTGTAAATCTGTGTGCATCCGAATTCCCGTCCACCATTCGCAATCCTAATCTCAGTGCAGGTTGCAATGCTTTTAGACAAAAATCGACGTGTGATTGCTTAGAAGCATTTGATAAGCTGGAATACACTGTCCGGGCAAATTGCAAGATCATGATCATCAAGCATGTAATTGTGAAATTGAAGTAAAAGATCAGTGGTGTGTTACCAAATATAATGCATGCACACACCGACAGGCTATGTATTTCTGCCTGATTATGGGCCACTGTGTTGCTTGGTTCATCCCTTCTCGGCTTTTGTGCATCATCGAGTAGAAGGAAAGTATGTCGACTCAGTGGAATGTAGAAGAGTGGATATTGTAAGGTGAGCGATGTACTAACTGACTGCCAAATGCCACGAGACTAGACACGCACCTCGGGTGTTCCATTCGCTATTTTTGGAGTCTGAATCGAAGCAAGTGGATAATTTATTGAAATGCACACTAATCGGGTGTCGAATCTCACCGTAGCCGTGAAGCATACGCATGCACATACACATACACGTACCCACACTCGTTTGCATCAGTTGATGACAGTCTACCTACCTTTCAATTTATTCCCTATTGGTGGTGCTGAAGCAGTAGTTACTGGAAAGCGGTACATGGTAAACGCTGTCAGTTGTACTTGACATGATTTTCTCTATTTATTTACCTAATGTTGAGAAATTAAAGCAGCATCTGCGACATGAATTGATAGGAGGTGAAGCACATTTGTGACTAGATAGCGAGCATTTTGAGAAGGAAATTTAATGCACCACCTACATAGAAATGAGGCATTTAACATTGGGACCATTCCCTCCTACTAGTTTCGAGTAGGCCATAGAAGCCTGGCTGACACATCGAAAGCTTAGATGGGGTCGTCTGGTCTTGAGCATTACAGGGACCTGTTCCACTCACTCCATCTGGGGAAGTCACCGGTGTAAGTTAACAAATGGTCTCACCCGGAAGGCACACGCGAATGCAGAAATCTCTTATGGTCGTCATTAAAGCAGAAATTAACTCTCTACTCACCAAACATTCCCTGATGATTCTAAACGTTAACAATCCCGTAAGGTCAATTTCATTTAGCACCGCTGACAAAGACTGGTCTGCAATGAATTTTGCGTGGAAAAGGAGGACAAAGTGTCACAACGATTGGCCAAGAGGCCATTGAACCACCAGCGTCTACTCAGCTCTCTTTCACACTACTGCCCTGCTACGCTCTATTAATCGGATCAAACACCCCTTCGATACTTCCACTGCATGTTGCAAGGAGGCTCTGCCAGACACTCCTCATCACACTACCACTACTGTTCTCTTTTCGACCCTCGTAATTGTCCCATCCAGAGAGGTATCCTCCACGGCGATCGTCATGCCCACAAACCCGACTTTCATGTCCCTGAAGTCTATATTTCTACGACTTCTGCAGTCTCCTCACATACCTCTCCTTCCTTCGCTTCGCTTCCTCTACATCACCTCATTTGGCTTAGGAAGCCTGTCCTTAGTCTCAGTCATCCAATTCCTTACTTGGTGATGGCATTGCTTCATTTCTTTGCCATGCAGCATCCTCCCTTCCTATCCGACAATCGTTGCTGCACCTTCCATAAGTAGTCAGTGTTACCTCATATTGGTTACCTCACGAAAGCCATTTCCCTATTCGAATAAGGTGGTATATATTCAGTCATGCAAGATGACAAGCAGTTTTGTGGAGCGTCCTCTACTTATTCAATACATCCCAATCGTCAAACACCTCCTTCCAATCCATCACTTGTGCTAGCTGTTTATTACCTGAAACACGCCCTAGACCGATGCATTCGCACCTGCACAAGTGAGCACACCTGTTGGTGTTAATAAGGCAAAGCATGTGTTTAAACCAATCTGCCCAATAATGCAAAGTAATAATAGCTACATCTTGAGAGTTCACGTCCCTTTCCAGTAAACATCCAGAATGCTTTTAACAAGTAAGAAGTTTTGAAGTCTTAATCTCACCACAACAAAGGATGCGTGGGAAGTTGCCTTTACCTTTCAGTGCGAGTTCAACAATGTCGGATATGAAAAGTGCATTCTGGGTAAGATGCGTTCCTTGGCATCGTCACGGAGTCGGATGGAGTTCAAAGGTGTCTGTTTGTGTCTTTCTAATTTAACTTCTGCAAATTTGGCCTTATGGAAGGAGTGAAAACTTATTAAACATTTGTATGAATGCTATAAATTGGCACTGGCACTCACGTCTCACAAGGAAATTAAGGAGGTCATATGTCAGGAACAATCCGAGGGAGTTCCTTTACATACATCACAAAAACATTACGCAATGGTCACATGCTCAAGTAGTTGTTTAGCACTTTGAATTGTTACCAAAGACAAAAGAAGTCATAGAACAAAAATGATGGTGCGTTGCCTTCTCACGGAAGGACTGAGTGTCAACTGACGTGCCTCGGAGGCCATGAGGCTCAGTGCATGCACAATGCCAAGGTCTTAGATGCCACCCAAACCAAAACCGAGAGTTAGGCATACCATCATGGCTTTGATAAACGCAAGGTTAAAATGAGATAATTTGGATAGGAGGAGAGGGATTAGTCCCATCTGAAATCACGCACATCACTCTTGTTCATTGTTCAAAGGGCGTTTTAGCTGAATGCCTGCTGTTCCACATGATGGCCATGAGGGCAATGTTTGATAATTTGGGCGATTTGAATAAGCTGAAAATGCCACCTGAAGATGTGGACACAATGACAGTTGCCAGGTTGAGAATATGGACATTTTTCAAATGAATCGTAGTATTTGTGTGCAGACCTTCTATCGTACACAAGGACAAGCGCAAACGTTTTGTTTTTCTGCCTCACTGTGAGATGTGGATTCACCTGAATGCCCACCTGTCAACTCTTAGGTATCGACAAGTAGTGTCGTGGCGTTTTGACTGGGTGTGCATTGCTCCAGTGCAATGTAGAAGAATGGATATTGTGACGTGAGCACTGCATTAACTAACTGCCTACTACCACGAGATTCGACACACACCGTGGGTACTCCATTCGCCACATTAGGACCTCCAGTCAAGGCGAGAGGATGGTTTATGCAAGCACGCGGTACTAGGGTGTCTTTACAGCTAACAAGGTCCTCCCTCAATTCGAAAGAAGTCGCAATGCTAGAGGAGAGATAGAGTTGCCGACATGCAGATGGACTAGACGTGGCTGTCATGGCCGGATGCCATGATTTCAGCAAAAGTGCAATTGCAGAGTCTTGAGTGCCAGCTGAAACACAATCGAGGGTTAAACCAACAACGAGAGTAGTACGCTGCATTCATATACACAGGCAGCTAGCAATGGTTCAAAACGAATTAATGCGAATGAAAAAGACAAAGCAGCATGTGAGATGCGGGTGCCAAAATATGACATGGCAATGGTATACAGCATTTACCAGACACATGGCAGTTCAAATGAGCATGTCAATCGTTTATTGGGCTCACATCAACTCGTCTCGCATTTATGTCTGTCTCTTTCTTCTACATCACCAAGCATGTTTTTGAGGGCCAAAACTAAATTACTCCTTCGTCCTGCCCTAAATCTTTTACGTCCCTGCTATTTAGAGCTTAGCTTGTTTAGTGAGGCTTGAACAACAATTTGCTTGAGGTCTTCGGAAAAACAGGCATTCAGAAACATTGAGGCCAATTGCCGGAATCCAAATGGCTTGGAACGAAGTCACATTAGTTAGCACATTGTGAAGGGTGGTGGGCCATTTCCCATTTCGAGCGTGTCACTGTCTCCTTTGACGTCGATCAGACCGACGTTGTGAGTCGTAAGCGTCTCGGTATACCTCTCTACTTAAATGGCCTAGGTAAATTGTTCATAATCAGCTCCTGTAGAATTGCAGGAATGGTCGACGGAATACAGTGACGACAGTCAATGCTGCATGGAGATTGCTATAGTAACACCGGAGATCGAGTTGTTGTGCTAAGGCGAAAGCAAATGATTGCAATAACCCACCTGTGGTGGATTTGCTAATGAAGGATGGAGCACTGAACCCCTCACGTAGCACCCGTTTTTAGCACCAAGTGCGCTTCAAGTTGTTACTGTGGGTGAGGGGTGAAATTAGATTTTTCCATATTTGCACACCGGTTACATCCACTTCATCAAAAGGTGAGTTCGAATATAGTGGTTTACGCCTTAAGGATACGTCTTCCATCTGACGTGTTTATTTGCCCTCCATCCTATTCGATGGTTGCGCGTGCTGATACAGTCGTTGGTTTCAAATGGTACTACTGAGCATTTATGGTAGTGCGTGACTTATATCCTCATGATTTGCATCACTTCGGGCACTGCAAGCCTTCTACTTAGCAGCTGCTTCGAAGGATGGCAACCTTAATCACAGGATTTGTCATTTCCTCTTTAGTCGTCATCCATCGTTCAGGCAGTCATGGCTCTTCATTTTTACACCCACTGGTGGTGTCATCCTATTTACTAGGAGGAGTTCTCAAGGCAGATCCGATACTTACACCTCCTGCCCTTTTCCGCAACACTTGTCTCGTGGTAGCGAAAACAAAATCAGGTAGTTAAAAAATGTGCTCCTCCTTTCACAAGCTGTCAACGGAGCATACACTTCGAGAATTATGCGCCAAGAAAGATGGATGAGAACGTACATAGTTAAGTAGGTTTTAAGAGTAAGTTGAACCATCCATCACTCATTGCCACTGTAATGCTGTACCCCCGTGGGCTACATTGAATGCCTGGTAAAACTTGCTCCCTTGAAGGTGCCAAAGAGAACTTACCTATGTGGAAGGGTAGCATACAGTGTTTTGTGAAAACCGTTGTAGTTGTATGCGTCTGTGTGACTGCCAAGTAGGACCAAGCACCAAATTGCACTGGTGATTTAACCCCATGAAGAGGTTAGCTCCACTAGTGCAGACGCAACATTAAATTCAGCCCCTACGTACTCACTCAATGCAGGAACCACAATCAAGCATCTATTTGTACTGGACCTTTACGTTCCCTTGCACTACATTGCAACCACAGAGCCACTGAAGCGTCGCTAATGGTGCCACTGCATGCGAGATTCCAGTCTGTACAGTCTGTACCGATAGAAAACTAAGACCAAGCTTCCTTCTGTTGCACAAGCAAATCCTCCACATTTTGCTGTGACATACTGTACAAGTTTCATTTGTTTAACCAGTCGAATTACTAGTTTAACTGTATATTTGCACGAATTCTAGCCTTTTTCCAATGGAAGATGGAGCCAATAATGGAGAAAATTTGATAGAATCGCCCTTAGTTAACTCTATAACGCCAAACACTGGAAAAGAGTGGACATTTCAAAGGAGCAGAAGACTATTCATCTCCACCTTACAAACAAGAATTGAGAATTCTTGACGTCTTATTCATTTGTAGGAGGCATATGGTGGATTTCTGAAGGTGCACGTGGCTTTGATTTCTTGCTGACCACCCATACCACCTTGGCTGTTCTGGTCTTTTCGCGCCTCACAGAGCGCCAAATTATAGACTCACAGGCCTGGTCAATTCGTTGGTAGTTGTAAGCACTCCCTTGAGGGAATGAAGCTTCCGCTTTTCTCGCTCGCTTAGCAGGATAAAGAGGGAAATGGAGAAGGTAAAGGTGTAACACTGTAAGTCAACGGATAAAGGAAATATGACAACTGAGACGTATGCGTGTTGGAACGGGCATGACGTGTGCCAGGGTTAGGAGCTGGCATCATGACTCAGTCATAAGGTGGACCTGTGAAAGTCTCATTGACTCATCTCTTTGAGTGAGACACCCTTTTCAAACCGCGCAATTCGAAGGATGAGCTACCTACTTAAAAGAGCGGGCAGTATGGCAGTTACCCCTCCACCACCAGCAAACACCCATTTGACTTCTCCGAATTCATCCCACTTTGCGAAGATAGCCAAAGTCAAATCACACAACTGGGCCAACGACATAGTGAAGAGGAGGGAGTCAGTTGAGGAGGTGCATTAGAAACGCACAATGCAAACCCTTATTTGGCTGTGGTCTTATGATAAGAGTCATGGAAAAAGCGGGTTATTCGAAGCGGGTTCGTACAGCTGAAGGTTCTTTGACGGCAAAACAATTAAGTGACCTACCTCAAACCACGGATTGATTGATCATCCTTCGAGATTTTATGTATCGTACGTGTTGACACCGTCAGAGGGAAGAAGGAAGGAGTTAGCTGTCTCAACTGCATCAGTGATACCCGATCTCAAGTGACTACTAAGGGATTGACGAAAAATATGGTAGTGCAGGACGTATTTCTATGCGGTGGCAGTAGAGTAGAAGGATTGGACGTCCCAGCTACTTAACAATAATCAACTTTGGATCCCGTCCAACTGACAGCATGCAATAATTATTACTTCTAAGTGAATCGCGTACCTCATACTACATTTTTTGACTAGTATGACGGGAGTTTTGGGCGCAGACTGCGGCATCCAAATTCCTCTTCTGTCTGAGTGGACGCAATTGTTGTGTAATTTGGCAAAATGCTATTCCAGTCTTCAACTACAACCACAAATTGAGAAGTGGTTGCTAGTGAACACAATCCCACCCTCGGTGTTCAGACCTCACCCCTTCAAGTGCAAAATTATCACAAGTCGATTGTGGTCATTGTTGTGCATTTGTCTTGACTCATCGACTTGATGGCAGTTTACAATTCAACACCCTCCACACAGCATTGACAGTCGCCATCGTGCTCCGTCATCCATGCCTGATGTAGCAGTGAAGTGGTGTAAAGCGACACCTCGCATATGCCATTGCGGTGGACAGACGAGTCAAGACAACTGCGTTTCTGGTTATTGATATCAGCTTATTCGACTACTCATGACTGCCAGAGGTGAAGATCTGTGTTGGAGAGCGTCTGGGGCAGCACACATGCGAATCACATGTCGTTAGAGAGAATGACACGTGTTCTCCATTTTCCACTGTTTCATTTGTTGTACACACTTTGGACATCCACCTCGTCCTTACACCCAACCCTCTTACTATTAGCAAGGCCACCCGCACCTTGGTTGATAACTTAGAGCACTGCATGATGCCATCAAATATGGCGGATTCCCCAGAACTCCACTTTGCCAATATATTGACGATATGATGAGCATCGAGTTCCAGCTTTCCTCCATAGACCCCACGAGAAATATTAATACCAATGCAGACTGAGGTTGCGTATCCTTCCACCTTCGCAGTCACAGCGGTTAACTGTGATAATTCTCGCATCACATTCATTGCAAATGTGACATCAAAGTTTTCCACATCTAGATTGGTGTATTGCATTCCTTCGCTGACTGATTTGGGACCGAGACAGAGATGCTAAAGAGGAGTGAATTGGGAATGATTCTGTGGTGATTGTTTTGTGGAGAGAAGTTGCTTAGGGCAAGACTGGCCTGTTCCAGCTAGACTTAGCTCTTCCTCAAACCGCTTCCACTACTCAGCTGTGAATGGCCAAAAAAACTCCGATTATCGTTACCTCTGACATCACTATTCCCAGCACTCCTGGTTTGGACCCCATGCACTGGTGAATTGGATATGGACATCATTGAGTAGATTGATGGATGAATGGGTAGACAAATGCAGGTCGGGCAGATAGATGAAAGGGTGTTTGCTAAATGGGTAATTGTGTGCACTGTACGCCCATGTGAGGTGCGAAGCAGGAAGGAGAAGCAGGAATTCGAGCAACTGAAATTCATACGATAACGTGGAAGTGGAAATACGGATGCTTGAAAAACACGCGATGAATAATGCAAATAGACAATTCAGAGAAAGTAAGAAAAGAGTTGGTTTTGGGAGATGCCTCAAGGACTACTACATAAGGCATAAATAGAGCAAAATACGCGAGAAAATTAGACAAATGTGTGAGCAGGCTGTGGTGAACCAGTGTAGGCTCACTCCGATCACTTAAATTTTCAAGTATTTATTAGATGCTTTAGAATTTTGCTAACGACTCATTTTTCATCGTATATTTATTCCTTTGCGAATTCAAATGTCACATTTTTATCTGGTCTTCTTATCCATCTTATTCTTGTGCAATTTTGCCTTTGACAAAGAAGTAAGTAAGACGGATTTCTTAAGCGATTTGGCAAAATAATGCATGGGATGTGCCTCTGGTGTTATGACATAAGTGTTTGCCGTAATTATTAAGTCAGAAATGAAAATGACTGCAAGTCAGTGCATTCAAAACGATATTTGTGCTTAGGATTTCCATCGTGTTATAAAAGAACGATCGTTCTGTGCGTTGGTTATTTTGACCAATTTAAAGTTAGGTGCATTAATGTGATCATGCATTAAAAAAATCTACTTTTTTGGAAGATTTTGGTTTGTTTGACTGAGTAGATTAGCTCAAATATATGTACTTACTAGAACACGTACTCCATTCGCAATCACTGGTTCAGCGTTGCTTCCGCCGGTTGTGAGCGAGTTTCAGGCAGAGCAATGTCACAACGGAGAGATCAAGAGGTGATGCCTGGTATTTTTGGGGATTTGGCTAACCTGGAAAATACCGCCAGGAATGATGGCGGGGCAGGAAATTCAGGGGTATGATATTTCAAATAAAATAATTTTATGCATGCTATTCTTATAAAATTTAGTTGTCATTGATATGCTTTCTACTTACGGAATGGTTACGTTTGACTTGTTTATTAAGTGATCAGATCTCAACTTCACACCTGGCCAGTATTTGAAAAAGTTTTGTTTGTCATGCGTATATATCCCATCGGTGCAATAAATATGGTATTCTCCGCAGCCGAAAGGGTATTTGTGCTCAGTTTGCGATAGCTTTTCCTAATTTGGCTGCTATTGACCTTCGCTGTGCTTGTCAAACCGCGTTTACTTGCAGCTGATAAACTGTATTAGTGTTTCGTATTTCCATATTTTGCCCCACAAATTTGTTTGAGACATGAACTACTTTGTATGATTGCTAAATAACGCAGGATTTGTGTTGTGGTCACAGGGTTAGTAGTTAAACTGGGTGGCAGGAAATGGGTGCAAAATAGTCGTAAGGGGAAGACATCGAAGCATGACAGACAGAGCTTGATACGTAGGTTGAAAGTTAAGTCTGTGCAAATGCAGAGTTTGGATGAGATGTCTTTATTGTCATTTTCTGGTTAAGCAACTAGGATGTGAATTGTTTGTGGTCCCCCTCTCAGACGATTTCAGACGTAGTGTTGTTGATTACTTGCAAACGGCATGCACATGCATAGGCAATTCACCTTCCTGCTTGACGGGAAGCCATTAAATCATTAATCGGCTACCCACTTTTCCACTCGAAAGCAGTGAATAAGCAAAGGAAGGATGACACGGCTAAAGCGACTGAAGTAAAATGAAGTGACACTGCGGATTGTGGTGCTTGAAGGAGGCGTACTCCACGCAGCATCTGTAAGACATACACGTTAAAGAATGAAGTGTATTGTGTGGTGCCGAAATGTGCACTAAAAATTATTGTAGTCTCAAGTGTTAATGTGTTGCCACAGTGATACTTGGAATACCTACACTTATGTAAACTGATAACTTATGCCACTTGACTAACTTGATTGAAGTGGTTGGTACTTGCGACTCCTGTAAAAAAACAGAAATAAGCAATTAGAAAGCAAAAAAACTTTAAAAACGTCAAGTAAACTAACCTCGTTAACTAAAAAATAGTAAAATGTTTATCCATTAAGATATGCAATTTTTGTCTGAGAGTGCTACGAGCATGTGGATATGTGATTTATTCGTAGGAGAGAGATTGACGCTTACCTCAAACATGGAAGACGCTGTAGATATTCGAGGAAATAAAAAAGGTGTATTGGAAGAAAAGGTATGAGGATAAAACGAATGTGATGCAAAAGCTGTTTGCCAGGACTGGTAAATTTGTGAGTGGAAATGCCATGGAAATGTGAAATGAGTAGGGATTAGACGAATGTAATGCAAGAGTTGACTGGCATGCGATTTAGCGAGCTTAATTTATCACCCATGCTATAGAAGTCGGACGAAGAGGATCCATATAGAAGACCACTTAGTGGACAGAAGGAAGGAGCAGGTGTGCCGTACAACACCTCTCCTCTTTACAACGCGGTGCCTTTTAGTCCAAACACAAAGGTGAGTGAAGTATCTTCGTTAAGTAAAGCTTAGCGCTGCGTTTGCATATTTTGGTGGGAAAAGTGTTGCTGATGGTAGTAGGATGAGGTGAATGTCCCATTCGTTAGATGGCGCTTGCAAGAAATTAATCGTGCGGAATTAATTGGAGGGTGAAAGCGACGCGGACCTATTTGGGCGCTGCAGATTGTAGATGAATGGGTAGCTTTAGATGGAGGGACATTTGTGCATGCTTGGACCTCAACATGCGTGTACGCGAATGTGGACGCAGTGGAGTTCCGGAGATGGGGAGGAGACGAATTTGTTTGCACCTCTCACCGACTCGTCTCAAATCGCGTATTGAAGGTGAGGGCAGTTAGTGTGGACACACCTCACATGGGTGTCTGATCTCGCCACTGTTGAATGGGACAGCACCCATGCCCATGTGGTAGCCTCGCACTGCAATTTTTCTTTTAGTGCCATATGTTTTCTTTTTTATATGCTTTTCACTACTTTTGACAACTTTTTTTCGAATGCCAATAGAATATTTTTGCCATGCTTCTCAGCCAACGCAACTCATTGTGCTGGATAGATGGATTCCTCTTATGTTCTAGTTCTTTTTAACACCCTGACTTGTCCACCTTGTCAGTGTGGCAATTAGGGCAACAAAAGCTTTACTTTTTGTGTTTGAAACACCTATATTGCCAATCGGATGTATTATTGGATCGTATATTAATGTGCTTATAATAAGCTGAGATGTGATTGTAAATTGACGTACAATTTAAGGTTGTTAAATTGCGATTCGTTTAATAGGTGGTGGACGCCAAAGAGGCAGAAAGAAGAAAGCAGCAGCTTGTTTCAACATTACTCTCCTACATTACCCCTTACGACTTTCCTCTTTGCAGTCATCCCCCTCCAATTCTTCCACTACGTCCACCATGCCTAGAGACCAGAGTTGGCATGAGGGCGAAAATCTTCAAGAATTTCGATCTGTGCCCATTATTTCCAGTCCCGACATTCCTTTGTGTCGAATTTGCCATGATTCAGACTCGAGATCTTGTGGTCAATTAATTGCGCCATGTCTGTGTGACGGGAGTTTGAAGTATGTCCACAGAATGTGCCTTCAGCGTTGGCTTGATATCAGTCAATTGAAGAAGTGTGAGCTGTGTCATTATGAGTTTAAGATGAGCAAACGGGCAATGCTCATGCGCAAGGTGAGTTTATAAAACATATGGAAGTCCCTAGATTAAAACCATCTAAGTTTCATGTAGTTCTCGAATACATTGCTTCACCCGCAGTAAATCTTGTATCCATTTGTCCATTTCTTTATAACCAAAATATCTTTTGATCTTGTACTGGTTTTATTCGCTATCTAATTTTAAGGTAACGTGTCTCTATACCCATTCATTCATTTGTCGAATATCTTAGTGTGCACAACCCATTCGGTGTCATGAATTATGATGTTTGACAATTTGTTTTTCTTTTAGCGAGATCTTCGTGACATCTCTGTTGAGGAGCTAGGCATGGCCTTGGCTTTCGAACCCACAGTTTTACTCCTTGCAGCCTTAGTTATTTGGTGGTTTGTTTTTACCTTTTGCCATTCTTCAACCGCCATTCCTCCTGCTTCCTTGTCTTGGGGTATATATGTGCTGGCTACTTTAATGGCTCTCCTTTTTCTTTATTTTGTTGCAATTTTCATCTGTTTGACTGTACGCTCTTTGGGTTATAAAGTAAAATATGGCTCTGTGGTGCAGGATCCCTCTAGACAGTGAATTGCGAGGGTGTGAATGGCATGATGAGATGAGGTAATGAGGTGCCTTCTCTTGGCTCTTTCGAGCTTTCAATCATTTCACAACATTTTACATTAATTACCCATTTAAAAACTAGCAATCCTTGCCACTCTTCTGTGATCCATGTCAATTTCCCTCCCTCAGAATGTGTGTAAAAACCATTGCAAAAGCTACAATTTGTTAAATATTTCGTTTTAATTCTTCACTACCATATGGAGGTGTGCGATTGGAAGGCCACGAGGTATGAGACAATTTCTTCCTACTGGGCATTTTTGTATGATCTGATGAGTGCCTTCAACTGACGTCCACTTATCCAGCATTGCGCCAGCCCCCCTTCTGACCAATATCCATCTGTCCATACCGCATCTGATTATCAGTGCATTCCTTCCCTCATATATTCCTTTGTCCCATATGCATGCATACTTTCATTCTGGATGCATGATCCACACCCGATTGCAGTCAGTGATCGTGGGATGTGGCTTTTGGGCCCAGTTATATGTGGTCCATCTTGAACCCTTCCTAAGAAATTGACGGTACTGACGTGGAAATGGTCTAAACGGCGGAGTGCTAGAGCCAACGGCTAATTGAGGCACAGAGCTGGTGAATGACATTGCCACTTGAAATGGATAAGAGTTGTTTAAGTAATATTGTTGAGGCCAGTTAATGCAATTACGACAAGGCCAGCAGCTGCATGTAGAAACAGAATTAGTGGTGCTTTCGTTGCTCTATGGGTGTAATGCAATGTGATGTTGTGTAATGCAAAGGAAAGGAAATGACTGATGCAGATCTTGAAAGCCTTAAGCCTTTAAATGGGCGCGCCTTCTAATGCCGCATTTCAACTACGCACTTTCACGGAAGGAATGAGTTTGCCACGATGGTGTCTGTAGGAAAATGGAGAATTAATACTGGCAATTGATCTATTGAGCTGGGAAAGAGATGAACACGGGATGAATAAATGAATGGATGTGGGATGATGCTAAGATCTGATGCACTGATAAAGTGGGATACATTGACACGAATTAGGCGTTGATTTTTCACTACTCAACTTATTCATAAAACCAACTAATGCATGGAACAAAAACTTTATTACTAAAACAGTCCCTACAATAATTGTCACACTTACGTAGTTACATAACCCTCTCAAATGGAGGATTTTGGGTGGCTAAACTGGAAACCAAATTAAATTGTCGACTTAGCAGTTGATGTAGCAATTTTGTAAAAGGTCGTGTTTTGTGGTGGTCACTACATACCACCAACAACAACCGGATCACACTGACTATATCCAGCCAACCCAATAAAGAATGTCCAAATAATTTGAGCATTTTACGTAGGGAACTTCGGAGTGTAATCAACACAGGGCCTAGTGCATGAACCACCGCAGCCAATAGCCAGGTCTGTGAAGGTGGGACGATGCACAGCCTCCCCTTCCCCGTGCAATGTTTTTAAGACATATTATGGAGTCACGGCAGCAGCTTCTGAGGCTTCTCCTGTAAAATGCACTAACTCTCCGAGGGAGTTGGTATCGGTGCCGTAGAGTGGAGTGTCTTAACCATATCTGGTGGTCTAACTCCGTATCTGAAGTGAATGATAGTCATTCCACAATTCTAATGGGAAATAGGGTAAGGAAAGCCCTTTCTATTATCAATTAGAGGACAGTAGCGTACTCCACATCGTTTTCGCCCCGGGGAGTGTCTGTTCTTCCTGATTAATGACGAGTTACAATAAGGTGAGCACAGCATTCACGCAACTCGGTGTGTGTTGTTATACCGGCCTCCACTGCGGCCAAGAATAGGTTTTAGTGGAGGATACGTAAAGTGGTAAGAGCTCTGTGATGTTGCGGGCAGAATCAGGGGTCAAGTCGGGCATATTAAAGCTACATTTTAAAGTTCATGTTGTCCTTAAAAGAGGATCGTCCGCCAGCGCTGCCTTTAGTGTATTAGTCGCCTTTTTTTCACTTTTCTATCTCAGCCTTCAGTCGCAGTACGTAGGTTGGGAATTTGAAGTTAACTGCTTCCATGTTTAGTAAGAAAATACCGGTCAGTGTTCTCAATTCATGATCAGGTAGCATCTTAACTAGAGAAACCTTAGTAGGTAAATAAATTGTAGACGTATACTCAAAAGGGGCTGTCTTTGGTATAAATTTTAGTCTTTCGGTTGTACATTGCAGTTGAAAGCCACCACAAGTCCAACCAGAGTTCAGTTTGATCTCCTCACCTGTCCATTACCTTAACGTTGTCCAGATGGCATGTTTGGCTTAGGAATAGTAAGGTACTGAGTAGTTCAGTAAACAGTCGCTTATTCAGCGTTCGGGCACTCAGTGCAGACATAGCCATCTAATGAAGAAAGTTGAAACAACCGTTTCGACGTCTTGTGTCTTCTCAGGTCCTGTCATCTCAGCCACATTCATCCAGAGTTTTACCATAATGATGATGTATGAGTTTCCTCCATCAGTAGATGGTAGAGGACCCACGGTGTCAAAACCGACCCCCTCGTATGGGAACCCCAAGGGCATAGACTGAAGTTGAGCGATCACCGCGAAGAGAGGCCTTAAAGCTGTTGCAAGTAACGCAGTTCTGGCAAAAATCAAATATGTCAGGGGTTTGTACAATCTATCAGTACTTCTTGCCTGAGACACCTAGCATCTTCATTTTTCCTCCCCCGGAGAAGTTTCTCATGCATCCCATGGAGAGCTGTTTGTACCAATGAGCCAGTTGTAAGTAGGCGCTTGAAAGCTCAAACACCAGATTGATACTATTAGACCATATTCTCTAGAGGGCGTTTCAACCACTTCTACCATATCCATCTGTGTACCTTCCTCGGTGAGGTCATCTGGTTCTCTGTGGGTCTGTGCAAAGATGTGGAGAACCTCTCGTATACCAGAGCCGTGTCGAAATCAGTACTCTGCGTTTACATCCAATAACCCTTGGAGGGTTTTGCTCAAGAATATGGTATACACGATAACATCACCTGGGCCTGCCAAAACTGCAGATTTGTACTGTTGCAGCTCATTGCAATAAAGTGCTGCGTAACGGTCTATCTCATTCACTGTCTTCATCCACGTCAGTGCGTGGTGGTTCGTTTTCACTGTGAGTTTTGGCGAATATCTGGTAATGTCTAAATTGTCTGAATGCTGTACAGACAGCGAATCAGGTGTGTTGCTTGTGTCAGTAGTGAGGTGTGTTTTTCCTTCTTTGTCCCTTTGAAAGCGTACATTGGCCACGGTAGCATCGTTAGTGTTAGTTTCCAGTACAAATGATGGGGTGCCAGAATCGAAGTAAGGTACAGAATATGCAACCCATCCTCGCATCTCAAATGCATTTTCGTCTGGATTATGACTCGCATTTAAGTATGTGGAAATGCTTTTAAGTACGCAGAAAGGCAAAAATAGTGTTGTGCCTTAATAGCTTGTTTAGCTCTGCAATCGACCACGTAGGCACTGAGGCCTCCGTTGGTTGCATTCCGCATAGCATTACGGCCTTCGAGACGTGTCGGCAGCCTCTCGATCCTTTTGTATTTAGGTAAATATATTTCCTGTCATACTGTGAATTCATAAGAACTCAGGCTGAACTCGACGCGCTGCATGTATGAGCCCATAAAGTGCTCTCAAGTGTCGAAATGAGTAAAAACAAAAAATGCTGACAAATTGAATCACACACCGTTCGAGTAAATCAGTTTGAGCATATGTTTCACAGCGAGAAGCATTAGAAAAAGATCTGAATAATTTCATGTAATGAATCTGTCCAAAATAGACCAAATAGCAAGCTTCCAAGTCGTTATTAACGACTATGCTGGAAATGGACGAATGCGGGCATTCACTTTGTCCGTGTAATCCCCTCAAATCGGGAGAGAAGGCCGATTGAAACAGTGTGCTTGCATGTCGTTCTTGGTTCCTTGCACATTCGTAGTCTGAGGTGCGAAGATGGAGTGCAACGCTAGTTATCGAGGCCACGTGTGTTTGCTCTGATCCACTTCTGGCAGATTTGTAGCATCTGATTCATACAATGATGACAGATAGGCAACGATTTAGGTATGGTGTGCCAGTCTTGATAGCGGCTTATTTAGCAGTGGATGAATAAACCTAATTTGGACTCGTAGACACAAACAATTTGTGTAGAAGTGTAGTCGTCAAAGGGCTGCCTTCACAACAGGATCGGATAAGAGAAGAGGGGATGCGATTTTGCAATCGTATTGGATCATGAGGAAGAACATCACTAGACGACTTTTAATTGTCTTCTCACATTTCGAATTCCTAAGTAGGAAGATAAGATGTTCCACATCACAACTGCTGTTCTGATACAAGATTCCCTTTTCAATTGGATTAATAGCGGTATCTGCAATAAGTATTCCATTAAACACTTGGAGGAAGGAGTTATTGAGAAAGTGGAGGAAGTGTAGTCAAGCATAGATGTCTAGAAGACAAAGTATTTTTGAGCAATGAGTTCCAAAGCCATTAAATCGTTGATGGTAACTTTTAGTCATTAGGCCGAATTTGAATAAGCCACTCTCTCGGGTAAAGTTATGAATTCACATGTGTCTCGCCCTACACAACCATCGTTCGTGGGCAGAAGGGTACCTTTGCTGTAATGCCTTATGTGTGAGAGGGAGAGCTAGATGCGGATGCAGCACATTCTACCTGATATCTTTCGTCCTCCCGGTCATTCATGTTCTGCTACGTTTGCCCACTCGCAAATGAGCTATTTGCGTGGCTTTCCGTGGCACCTTAACCATTTATCATATTTTTGACATCTAAAATGACCACAAATTTGGAATATTTTGGAATTTTCACCAATTTCACAATTATTTGTTGAATATCCATTTGATCCAAACGAACAAATTTACAAAAGTGTAGTAAAGCTGAAATTAAATGTCAAAATAAAATTTCTTTAACAGTATGTGTATCAATGCTAAATAAGTGCATACTTGCAATAATGCGTTCTTAAACTGTTGCAACTCTTGACTACCCGTTGAATGAGGTGGAAACAGCTTTGCATAAGTTTTTCTTTGTCGTGAGAGACTGGTAACAAACAGGTGCCACATCGTTTGGTCTGTTTACTAATCTACTCCTGCATTAGGCATATCACCTTATGGCACTCAGGGCCATCCAGAACAAACAGAAAAATTTATTTTGGTAATCGGTTCATTACTTACCATCCATCGTTCATTAAGTGTGATTTTTGCTATTTATTGTCCAATTCTTCATCGCTTTTTAGAATTCACATTTTCGGAGAGATAACTGCTTGATGGTGCTCTTTGGGTAAATATCTGCTGCAAAACTTAGTAGCTGCAAATTTGTGTGTAAGAGGTATGAATGAATCGGAGGAGACTGCAAATCATAAGCGCGAATCGTCGAGGTGGCGCATCGTTACGCACGTGAATTTCACTTAAAATACTGCTATCCCTTCTATGTGCTGCTGTTGACGAGGTTGACGTTGTTTTATGAGGACATCTAAATTTTATGCTCACTACCTCATAGACACATTCCAAAATCCTGCCACACAGGCACTATCGAAATTGATTGTCAAATGCATTCCCCAGTTTACTAAGTTGAGTTAAATGGTGTAAACCTGTGTGCATCCGAACTCACCTCCACCAATCGTGGTCCTTATCTCAGTGCTGGTTCCAGTGGTTTTAGATAAATATCCTCTGTCACAAATAATGGCCAAGAAGGCTACGCTTGCTCGTTTGAAAGCATTGAATAGGCTGGAATATACCACCCGGTGAAATTATAAGATTAAAATTACCAAGTAAAATAAGCCTATTTAGAATATTTATTTTGCATAAGTCATTCTAATTAAATTCAATGGCATTTTACGATAATTTTATTCAAACACACGCAGGCAGGTAACTTTCTGCCTGATTGTGAGCCACTGATTCACTCGATTGATCCTCCCGCAGGTTGTGCGGATCATCAAGTATACCGAATGGGCGTGGCCTTGGTGGAATGCGGAATAATGGCAATTGTGAGGTGAGCAATGCGACATCTGAGTGCCAAATACTACAAGATTAGAGACGCACCCCGTGTGCTACAATTGCTACTTTTGGAGCTCTAGCCAAAGTAAGTGAGTAATTTATGAAGGCGCACACCACTCCAGCGTCTGATCTTACGGTCGCCTGGATGAATGGGCATGCACATTTTTAAACCCATACATACTCATTCGCATCAGATATTGGGAGTTGGCAGGTTCCATGGAAACTGCTCATTGGACAGCACTCACTCGCACTTTTGCAGAAATGGGTTATGCTTGTGGACGCATTATGTGCAAGTGCTGTTTCAGAGTATTCAAAGAATTCGTAAATGAATGGATAATTGCATGGAATGACAGTAACACCCATTCAGCGTGGTTATATTTACATTTCTCAAGCACTATATCTAGCAATTTTTGTTGTGTCATTGGCATGAATACTGGCCACAAAGTTGTTCATTTAAGTAGCTGAATTTTTCCATTTCGTTCATCCAATGGCGATATAAACACAATCGCCACAAGGATGTCTATCATGTATGCAAGTTGGCACAATTAAGACATGTATTGTTATCCTTGTGTGACCCTAGCTATCATTGCTTTCCTGATTAATTCGAATCTGTGTTTGGGAAACGAAGGGAATCAGTTATGCTCTGATCAAGATGATTTCACTGGTGCCATGTTTGTCTACAACGCACTCGTTTCGTCTGCGACATGATTCGGTGCAAGCTGTATTCAGAACATGGGTTAACTTAATGTAAGGCTTGTAGATTCCCCCCTACTTAGCACGAAAAAGCCGTTGCAGAGTGCTCCGCTTTCACTAAGTTAGTGTTGAACATTAAAATAAATGCTATGGAGGGCTTTCATTGCAAACCAATAGTGTGATTAAGCGGCAATTCGAATAAGCCATTATGGTGTGTTTGACAAGCTTATGGAGTAAGTAAGAGCCTCTTGAGACTGCGCATCTCAAGTACTGCCTCAAATCTCTCCTCGGTTTGAATTAGCCTCTGCCATCAACGATTTCGGAGCCCATTCTTAGCTCAAGATCAGTTTTGATCGTCGTTGTCAGGAGAAGTTGGTCCACGAAACATTCTGCTTTGACCACGAGTATGAAGCATCATGTCACATTTCAGTTTTACTAGCCTATGCTTACTCTGTGCTGGAAGTAGCTAAAATGGAAGATGGTGTTTCAGCTGCACAATCGAGATTCTTCCTTTAAAGTGCATGAATGGAGCAGTGGACTCCCTAATTATCACCGTTACTTCGAGAAACGACAATTTACCTCCCTCTTTCATTTGGTCGTTGCGTAAGCTGTCGTAGAAGAGACTGCGTCTAATTGAAGTGCTGTTATTGAATGAAAACTTACTAGACTTGAAAATGTTTGAATATTGAGATGGTGTGTAGTCACGCTCAATGTTAGCTTATTTGATTTGACTCAGCCAGATGCAGGTGGATGAATGGGAGTTTTGAATCCAAAAAGAGGAGAATTAGGAAAAACCGCGGTGTCTTGATGTCTTGAAGTGAATTCCGAGCAAATCCCACTTTGTGATTGGCTGGTGAGCTGCTTCTGTCCCCTCTGACGTCGATCGAACCACCGGTATGTGATGGGTGTCTTGATTTGACCGTCTACTTAAATGACATAAGTGAGGTGTAGATTTCAACCAACATCACCAGGATTGGCGAAATGATTGACGGGATGCGATGACGATGGGCAATGCTGGGTGTCGACTGTTTAAGTGTAAACTTAAATTAAGTCGTTGAATTAAGGCAAATCAAAATGACCACAGCATTCTACTTTTGACAATTTTTATTGTAAGGAATGAAGAGTAAGCACTGAAGGTTAGTCAGTTCTGTAGCAGAGCATTTGTCAATTTATTGTTCAGCATATTTGTGACCTAGAGAGTGAGCATTTTAAAACTGGCATTTAATGCTCCATTTCCATGTAAATGAAGCAGTTAAAACTAAGACTATTGCTTTCCACAATTTTTGTAGCGAAAGTTATGAGGTGTTTTGGTGGTAGCTTTGACTGGGGCCTGCTGATTCTGTGCATCACAAGGACTCGTCCCACCCTCTCCATTTGGAGTAGTTATTGGTGCAAATTGGTAAATCATCTAACTATGGTGTCACACACAAACACAAAAACATCTGTTGTGGTTGTCGCTAAAGCAGTTAACAGTGTACTCACCAAGCATTCACTGCTAATTCTAAACTATGACAATCCCGTAAGGTCGATTTCATTTAGCACCACCGAGAAGGACCAGTCGGCAATGACTTCTGCATGGTAAAGGAGGACAAAGTGTCACAACGATTGGCCAAGAGGCTATTTAAAAACCAGCGTCTGCTCAGCTCTGTTTCACACTGCTGCTCTGCTGCGATCCATTAATCTGATCAAAACCCCTTCGATACTTTCACTTCACGTTGCAAGACAGCTCTCCAAGACGCTCCTCATCACACTGACACTATCGCACACTTTCCAACTCTTAATCGTTTCGAACTAGAGAGATATCATCCTCGGCGATTGTCATGCCTACAAACTCGAGTTTCGTGTCCTTAAAGTCTTTATTTCTACAGTTTCTGCACTCTCCTCACACCAATCTCTTTACGTCGCCACCTCCACATCACCTCACTTGGCTTTGAAAGTCTGTCCTTAATGTCAATCACCCAAATTCTTTTCTTGATGGTCGCATTACTTGGGTCCTTCACTACGGAGCATCCTGCCTTCCTCTCTGACAATCGTCGCTGCACCTTCCATTTGTGGTCAGTGTTACCTTGCAGGATATCCTATGGTCACTGCATTTACCAGACCACGAAATTGTAGGGAAAGGAGCCTCTCTGCAATCAAAATGGTTATGAATGCCTTCATGAATGCTGCTGCTGCCTACATTTTCGTCATCGTTGGGATCTTCCATGTTCATGCACAAAGACTTCTCCAAGTAGGTGAATTTAACTGCCGCGGTTGCAAACAGAGCATGACAACCAAATTTCTGATGTCAAGTATAATGGCAATGCCATCGTAATGGACACGATTGTTTGTGTAGAGTGATCTTAATGAGAGTCCAATCAATTTCTAGCTGTGTGACAAGATCAAAGAATCGCATGGATAGTATCGCCAATGTGTAAATGCAGTGTTTCCCTTAGTCTTCGCGGGTTAAACTTCTGTCCATTGGAATGGTCTTTGAGGCATGCCACTAACCACAAACCTGCAGCAGACTGTTTTTCTTTTATGCAGATCACAACTGCACTTTTCTTATGCAATATTAAAGTATAAATCGTTTTGGTGGACTTCTTGAGTATCATTCCTTTGCGAGTGATACCCATTTCCCAAAAGCGAAATAGTTAAGGGTTGGCTATAAACTTAGAAATCAAGCCGGAGGTTGGTTACTCTTCTCTTCCCAGCGATTATTTCTTTACTGTGCCGGAAAGAAGCAAGCATTTTAATCTAAGAAATCAGAATTTGTTACACAAATATCGTGAACCCTAGAGGCTTGTCTAAATTGGCCTAATGTTTCGAAGACAACCAAAATTGATACATGAAAATAGTCCAGCACTGGACTGAAAAGAGAAAAGTAGTTAACAAATGCATTCAAAAACTCCCCGTGTTAACTCTTTTTTTGAGGTTCTCTGATAGAGGTCATTAAGAGGGTGGTTTGTTGAAAGCGTTTTTGTACGGCTGAAGGTATTTCGATGGCGAATGGAACAGCAACCTACCTAGAACTGCTAGTTGATTAAATATAACCCTACACTACGTCGTAGTGAAGGTGGAGGCATCGAGGGAGGGCAAAAGCAACGAGAAGTCATAACTGCCTAAATAATAATGAGTGACAAATGTGGAAGAGATGAATCAAATGATTAACAAAAGTGTCTTTCAAAGCAGCGGTATCATTTATAAGCAAACACCATTTTAACACGCACAAATGCTGACTAGTTTAAGAGGTAGCAATGCAGACAAGGTGAAAGGCGTAAATTATGATATTCGGTTTCATCTTTTGTTTAAGCGAAAGTAACTGCTGTTTAAGTATGGCAAAACCTAATAAACGCTACAATCGCAGTCGCAAATTATAGAAAATTGCCGTAGAACACCACCCACCTTCAGCGTTCACTCTTTGCTCCTACAACTACAAACCTATCGGAAGAAGAATGCTGTTATTACTTTGCTTGTTTCTAACTCTACAACTTAATTTTCGTCAGCACCTCGGCGATCTCGCCGCAACACTGCCCATCGTCATCGTGTTCTGTCATCCGTTCTTTCAATTTTAGTGATGTTAATTAAAGGCAACACTTCACTTATGTCATTTAAGTAGACAGGTATATCAAGATACTTACGACTCACATAGTCGGTTGGGTTGGCATCAAAGAGGCCAGTTACACACTTGGTATTTAAAACAACCCACTACTCATCACGAGATGGAAATTGCTAAGACTTAATTCTAAGACATTTTAAACTAACAATCGACAGCAATTTTCCCAAATTATTCTCTTTATAGGGTTCAATGAATAATGAGACGGCAATTCCTTCAAATGATGCAAGCCTTATCATGTCCAGTAGGTATTTGCCCATTAACGACACTATAATTAAACACAGTCTACTTCGACAGCTTGGGCGGCAAGCATTTGGGCAAGAAGAAAAAATTACGTCTCATGTGTGATCCCGATATTCAACGGCTTGACACTTTGGAAGGACAAAGCTAGCAGAAGTAAATGCTCTAAATTAGCGATTACAAAGTAATCTAGCACATACATTCTGCTTCACTCATTATCTTTTGTCCGAAATTTCTGAACCAGTTTCGCACCACAAATGAAGCTCAACAGCATAAAACTCATTTTCAGATAACATTAAACGTACCAAATTTACACGACCACAAAATTGATACTTTAATGTTGGGTTGGGGGATCCCATGAACCCTTTAATCGCATCTACTTCGTACTTTTTAGAAAAAACGGGGACCTATTTAGTTTGAGCCCCATGTATTTGCAAGGCAGGATCAGTCCCATCGATGCCTTGTTTCCACAAGACCCCACTAAATTTCGGCGTCGGAAGGAGATACTTCACTCACCTGGCTCTCAGCAGGACATCAAAGGGCTGTAGAGTGAGAACACGAATACGTGAATACCGGAAGACAAGGGCACAGCAACAACAAAACATCAGCGATATGCATGAGGTTGTGCCAATGAGTCAACGATGTTACCTAAAATTTTTACCGATAAGTAGCACCAACAACTCACCACGTTATTATGTGACAGATACACGAAGGAGTAGTAGAATCATCAAGGCTGATCTGCCACTCACGAATAAAACGCGGAGCGAGGATATGACAACCATTGCCAATTGATAGTACAGAGGATAGACACAGTAAGTTTTAGTTAGTTTCTCACTCTAGCAAAGTGTAATATGTGAAGGTGTCGATTCCCAATCTTTACTTTTGTGAGACCAAACAATCTCAAAATTGGAAAGGGTTTTGCAACACCAGCGAACAGGGAGAGTTGTTGAAGGACAGGCTGATATTGGCCAGTCTCGCCTTAGCGACCCCAACAATCTCATTCTCACCTACACATTGTGAAGAAATGGCAAGCCGAACGGGCTACATCAGATTATCTAATCTTTTCTCGAGTTTAGTGTGCAGACTTTTTGAAAAAGAGATAAAATTGCATGTTTGGGAAATAGTTTTTTTAATTATTTGACTTAAACGACATCTTCAAGTTTTCCGTAGTCTCGTAGTTGTTCGGTGAACAGTCATTCACTCGCAAAAGACAAAACTGCAAAGGCATTATGAAGCTAAACCGCAAAGCCAATATAAGACTTTCCGAAGTAGTTCGTAGTAATGCCAATCAAATGCAAATTTCGAGAACATATTCCTTAGGTTTAGCATCGTTAATAGCAGAAGACTAAAAAAATCTGCTTTTAGATATCCTTTGCTGACGAGGGCTTAATACTAGCAATGAAATATTAACATGTTGAAGGAGATTCCTTATTCAGCTCTTCTTTCTTGGCTTTCAAGCCGTTTGAATGAGCGAAAGTGTTTGTCCAGGTCATACTTATTTGTAATCGTGAATATGGTGGACACGAGTCAGTGAAGTGCACGTTTCGATCTCTCCTCCTGTTCGCGCAATCATGACGACTCCTCCTCCAGATTTGGAATCACGGAGCCCTTTTTTCTTCTAAGACGCTTTTCAATAAACATACATTACAATATCGTCTGGAATGGTTTCCATTCTATTCTTGTAAAATGCATGTCACAGCGGAACAATTTGAGCCAACTTACACAAATAGAGATGAGTTTTTTCACAAATCTTTTTCTTAATAGCCAACCATGTTTTGTTTAATTCCGCAGGTGTATATTTATTCATCATGATAAAGTTTGTCCATCTTTTGCGTCTGCAAATCTGCAGCGAATATTGTTTGTTGTAGTATCGTTCTAGAAGATACCCGCTGCAAAATTTGATGGGCAGACAGTGGTGCACCAAGGATGTAGAGGAAATGGAAGCAAGTGGCAAACACAAGTGCAACTGGTACGAGGTAATGCATTATATTATTTAATAAAATCTAAATTTCTCATTGTAACATGCTTTCTAAAGATCCAAATGTTTTAATGTACCCTTGTAGCTGAGTTGAACTTTTCGTGCAAAATTTGAATTTTATTCGCTCCACCTTACATTGCTTCAAATCTTTTCGTAAGTTGACCCTTGTCGATTCCTTAATTGACGAATACTTTACAAAATACTCAAGGTTATATGTTCACTCTATCATATATTTTGAGATTTATTTCAACACTTCTTTTTAAGATGATTTATTGAGGTGCCTTTATTGTAATATACCAAGGTTCTAGTAATCTTCCTTACTTCCACTTTGGCCATCCCAAATTCACCATTTTAGTATAGCCATGCTTAATGCTCAGTGTAGTGGGTAGAGAGATTATTGAAGTCCTATGAAGAGCAAATTGTTTGTGGACTTGCAGCAGTCGCTGCTACTAATGGTTACAAATGGAAGAACTTGAGTCACTGCAGTGTGAAGTGATAGGCTTTGTAGATGGCAGACATGTAGTAACAGACTGACATGCAATTTTTAAAAATTTAACGAAAGTTTCTTGTAATAGACGGTTAAAGCAGGAGAGGAAGAGGGAAGGCGATCACAAAGATTCAACTAACTGTAGGTGGTCGATTTACCGCCTCTTTCGATCCTCTGTTCAAGGTTTCATTGCGAGCTAAGAAAGCTTTCAACCACTTTCTCCTACACTTTCACCACTGTCCCTGTTTCTCTTTTCGTAATGCCGCGTGGAACTAGCAAACTTCAAAGGCTTGGGCCGTCGCCCACCAGTTCCAGCCATGACATCCCCTTTTGCCGAATATGTTACGATTCCAATGATGAATCAAATGATATGGAGATGGAGTCTCGTGGACGATTAATTGCGCCGTGTCTATGTGATGGAAGTATGAAATATGTCCACCAGTGCTGCATTCAGCGTTGGATTAAAATCAGTCGGTCGAGGAAGTGTGAGTTGTGCAATTTTAGGTATGCAATACGCAGACACGTCAAAGAGAATAAAGGGGTGAGGCTGTGGAAAGTAAGGAAGTGTCTTATGCGTGTGTACTAACAATTTGTTGGTTCATTTGTGAATCTATGCATCAAACAATTTCTCACAATCACTTAGGCGCTCTCTATCTGGGGTAGTTGCCTCCATTTGAATGCCCTTCTTTACTCAACAATCATGTGTCTCCTCATTTTAAAGGCATCTGCCTCCTAATTTTATCTTAAATGTATCCATTCCTCCATCCACCACTTATCCATCTATCACGAGCTTAGTTCGCACAACCAGTGTATTGTAGAGTGTGACGTATGCAATCTTTTTCATTTAGTGGAAATTCTATGCTTTCGAAATCATTATTCTACTCCTCGCAGCCTGGTTGAGTTGGCATAGTGCTGTCGCCTTCACCAGTACTTCGTCAGGACTTTTGCAGGCATCGTTTTTCGCTGGATTAATGGGCCTTATACTTGGTAATTACGTCGAGTTTTTCATCTTTGGGATTTCAGCCTGGTGTAAATTCAGAAAAGGCTCAGATCGATCGGAATACGTCTACGTGGTGCAAGAACCCTCCAATAGGCGGATGAGGAAGTTGCGTCGGAATACAATGACTTGAGATTGGAAGAGGAGATGGAGGAGTTATCGTCTACTGCACTTATTTCCAGCTTCCTATCAGTCTTGGATGCTTGTGTTTGTCCACCCATCCCACCACCAATTATCCATTGTATCCCTCTGTAATCAAGGGCATTTTCTCTCCATTGTGTGCTTGCGTGTAAAGGCTTTTTGATTGTGAAAGCCAGATATTTTCCACATGCTTTTTAGCCCTTCAATTCCACATCGAGGTGTGTGATTATAAGACCACGTGGTTTGGGGCAGTCTCTGCCCACTGAGTAAACTTTACAATTTAATATGCCTATTTGGCTGCTACTGCCCATTAACCACCGCTCCATTTCTTTGGCTGACTAGTATCAGTCCCTTCAGCAGCACATCTGACCATCACTGCATTATTTGCCCCACACATCCATCCGTCGAATGCGTACGAATCCAGCCATCTATGCTAGTGCAAGCGAAGTATCATCGCTGGCGCGAATTCGCTACTGGGTACCTTTATGTGTGCTGTGTATTGTACACTTTACGTAGATTGCCATAGCCAACTTGTAATTGAGGGGGTATAAGATGATGGAGGCTTCCAACTGAATGGTGATATTGTTGAGGAATGCAGATACGTTCACTATAAGGCCAATGACTGTATGTAACATTACAAGTAGTAGGGCAAAGGAAAGGAAGTCACGTGTTGCGAGTCAACGCTCGACCGTGGTCTTCGTTGGATCTGATACACAAATTTCGACTGATGCTCACCATCAGAAGTTGTCTGACGTGCATTCCCAATGATGAAATGATAAGGTAAGAGTTGAGTTGATCCTTTGCAGTCGCCGTCTATTTAAAATGCTTTGTGGTCCGAATCCTCTCAAAGGGTCGAAGATACCCATCTTAAGGCAATGTTAGTCTCCGAAGTGAGCAAATGGTGTGTTTAATAAGTACACAGCTACACTATTGACAACCATCACAGGTGTGTATACCTGTGTATTTAACTTCTAAGTAGGACATGCTACTAAATTTTCCAACTAAATTCGCCTCAAGGACGAAGTGGAATGAGTCCTTGTGGTGCATAATTTCATTGGGCTCCGTAACACAATCTCTTCATACCCTTCTAAATACTTACCGGTGGCGCACAAGACAGAATTTATTTGTCGACAGCAGACAGCTACTTGGATGCCGAGAATAGTTAATTTCAACTGTCGATCTGACCTCCCCTGAGACCTCTAGTGAATATATTGACATTTCCAATAGATGGAAGAAATGAGAAGTGCCAACTGTCCTAACGATAGTAGGCGTCTACTGTGGATGTGAAAATTTTTATCAGCGCCTGATTTGCCTTTGCAAGAGGCTGTAGAGTGGAAGTTTTGTATTACTTGATGTCTTGGGAATTATGAAATTCCACTTGCATGCAAAAGAAAGCGTTTGCGAAGTGTCACTTACTTGTACTTGTAGTTGAGTGCGTCAGATGAAGGACCTAGCTTTAGACGTATACTGCAGCATTTGAGTTTGCTTTCTGTCCAGGTAGCTGTGGCCGCTGTTAAAATGTTGCCAAATCTTATTCTACTCGTCGCCCGCTGTCACAAATTTTAGGGCATTTACCCTGAAACACCACCCACCTTCGGTCTTCAGTCCTCACTCCTTTAAATATAAATTCGTCACAACTGGATTGTTGTGAACAATTGCAGCCGCCAGTTTTTTGACCGTCCTGATGGCACTTCGCGCTTCGTCCATCTCTACTCAGCAATGACCATTGATCTTGCATTTCATCTTCCATTCCAGTGTTTCCAGGTGAGTTGATTAAAAAGTAGCACTTCTTATATGCCATTTAAGTAGACAGGCAAATCCAGACAACTCGACGTCTTGTGAATGCAGAAGTGAAAGATTAGTCATAATTTACATCAGCAAACACTGGAGGTGGAATGCTTCATTTAAATATCCAAACATTTTAATGTTCAGTGGGCTTTTACTTAATAAAAATACTTTCATTAAGCACAGTTTTTACCACTGCAGCTTGAGCAAGGATAATGTGATAAAGACAAGTTGGCGTTACTCGAGCAAGGGGGATATATGGTAAATTGATGTTACCATCTATGTATTTTGAAAAGCATGATCTTTGAATCTGCACAGGAAAGATCAACTTTTAGTTAAACTTGCAAAAGTGGAATATTTATGGGAAGAGTGAAGGACGGTGATGATTCCACCATTCGCACTTCCATTGCAGCCTCGTAATTGTCTTCGTTCTTTCTCCTCTGCTTCAGTTGTCTATGTCGTATGTTAAAAATCAACTTCATGGAATAGGATATCAATCAGTTACCACAATTAAGCAATCCGGCGAACTGATCATTCCACGTTTCAATGACTTAACGCATTCCCATTCAAAGTGTTCCGACCTCAAACCAGTAAGATGCACACCGACAGGACCGACTGCTCTACGTAGAACGTCAACCATCCATCCTTCCACTGCACTGAGCTTGTATGTCCCTAAACAGACGGAGGAAAAATCGAGAGGTGAATTATTATTCAGAGAATGCATTATTATACGTGGGGAAGTATCGCGTGAAAATCATCAAAAGTAATTGTGTACAGATCTTCTTGATGTAAAATACAAATAGAGATTTCAGTGGTTCTTTGCCTACTGCACTCCTTACTGCGACATTGTCGCCTGCTACGGCTTCTCCTTTGCCTTATCTCTATCCCTTTCTCTCTCTGCTACTGCGAATTAAGTTTCTTCCTCCTTAGAACAGGTGCGCAATCGGTTCCTGTTTCATCTATGGGTCGGTGGAGAATGCAACATTCGAATTAGTTACTTCAATATACAATTCTGTTGGTAGTGGAATTAGGGGTAATTAAGCAGCCTTGTGATGTGAGACTTGAGGAGAATCTAATATTTCTTCCTAAATTTGTTTAACTGTAACTAGTAAAAACCATTATGTTGCATTCACTAAATACTTTTTTTACAGCGATCAAAATGAAGCAATTTAAGATACACTGATGATAAATTACTCCACAGCCCTCTAACGAACACTTCCCTTGCACAATCAAAAGTTACCTCATCCACTGCAAAGGCGTCATCGTTCAAAGCTACGACTTGCGCGTCTCTTAACAGGCCATGAGCGCAATGTTTTGAGTTGTTGCGAAGTCCATGCAGCAGCACTCAAACACCATAAACCAAAGCTTCCTACCCTCTTCCCCATCTGTAATCTAAATAATTCACTTGATATATTTGGGATTCAATTTCATAGCTAAAACGTAACCTTTCTAGCAAACACGCAACTTTAAAAGGAGGAAATTTAAGTCTTCCGCTTAAACTTGGAAAAACTAGACACATGCTGCGGTGACCTTCCCCACCCTCAATCCCAGTGACGCACAGAACAATGACTCCGAAGCAATGACACACACAGGGCGTGTGACTCATCAGCGTGGGGTCACGCGAATTTTATTAATCCATGCAAATCCCTGGTATGGCGAGTTGAACACAAAGTGGTTGCCACTGCACGCGTTGCTACTCTTTTCCGCCAAATATAGAAGGCTGCTGATGAGTTTGGGCCAGTTAAGTGGAGAATGTTTTTCTGCTAATAAGTGAGTACTTATGTATGCAAGTGTACGACTTCTAAGTAAGATCAACAAATAAATTACTCCAGTAATTTGGTATTACAGATAGTGTAAAACCGGTACTAGTGGCAAATTCATTAGGCCCCCCCCCCCTTACTTCTTCAGGGCATCAACAGTGATCGTGCGTTGACTTGCAGTCATTAGCCTTGTAGTTACTGCATCCACACTCCCAGATAACACCGCTTAGACACTTCCTCCATTTAAAGTGGTGATGTGAATCGCCTGCTGTCGGCCTCATTTCGACTTTGGCTACGACACTCAGCCGTGTATACCACGTCCATATCATGGTCGTCAATTCTCCATAGAGTGAGCAACGAGCTTCCTGTGAATGCTGTCCATTTCAAACAAACTACAAAAAATACACACATAGGATGATCAAAGTCATCCGGTGACTACGCTGCCTGACAGACACATTTCATCCAAATTATCAATTTTACCACCCACAACACCCATCTTACTACGTCTCACCCCTTAAAATGCAATACCTGTAGATCAAGACGATGCTTGTAAGTGCTTTCTCAGAGGAGATGCTAGGATTTCCTCTTCCAGCGTTGCACACACACGTTCCTCGTACCCAAACTCGCACCTTCCACACGCATCTAGGCGGCGCATTTCTGCTAGAAGTAATCAAAGTGACTTGGGAAGGAAAAGTCGAGAAAATGTCAATTCAAGTTCAAGTGATTGATTCCTCCCAGGCGTTGGTGTTGAATGTGCTACCAGCCGAACTACGTAAAAACGAGAAAAGTTGGACAATTTTTACAAGGTCACCTGAACAATGATCAGTATGACCGGTGCGTTGGTGGTGTGCGATGACCGCAACGAAACACAAAATTTTCGCATGACAGTAGCTTACCATTGCGTATGGCTTTATTAAACTGATTAACCACAAAATTATTTTACGATACAGTTTATCCACACCCTTTGAAAAGGCTACATAGCTATAAAAAGTATTTTCTATTTGATGATTTGTCATGTGAATAAGTGAGCAAAGCCATAGCCGAACTCACGCCTGATTCCTACCAATTTGTCTGGTAAGACATGTGCTCAAACGTTAATGAACTTCGACAGTATTACGGGTTTAATTCCCATTTTGCATTCATCCATCCTGCTACTCAATCCATGAGTCGGTCTTACCTTAACATGACGCACTCGCATAGCCAGCTGTGTTGTCCTTGCAAGGTGTTACTTCGTATATTTGGTGTTTGATTAGCAGACACTTCGACACAAAAGCAAAACAGAGGGTGAAATGAATATGCTAGCACTGCAGTAGAATTTCGAGGGGCATATTCCTTCATCACTCGTTCCAGTTGTGATACTGTGCCCTCGTAGCCTACAAGAAATGCTTTGTGGGCCAATCTATCTCTAGGGTGCTAAATGAAACCGATAAGCATGAAGCTGGGGTTCCAAAATCATCAGTGGTTATGACCGATGATTACACAATGAAATATTTTAGTGATAGCCATCACAGATGTGTCTGCACAACTTCCACGAGAGACTAAGTACTAAATTAAACCGGTGATTTTAGTCCACTAATGCAGTGGAAACAGCACTCGTGGTGCGAGATTCCCCGAGGCCTTTAAAATAAAAAGTTTTACCGTTATCACCTGTTTCAGAAGGAGAAAAATGACTAAGATTACATATTGATAACAGGAATTATAGGTTTTAGTATAGGTGGACAAACAGTCATCCAGGAATGACTGGAAGTACGGAAAGCCTTTTGGCAGTAGACACTGCCATTTCCACCTTTTTTTCTCACACTCTTAAGGCATTGCAGTGAAGGTGTCCTCCTCATGAACGGTGTAGAATTGGTTACTTGATAAACGCCGTTCCATCCTCAACTTCGCAATTCGTTCTTCTGACGGTTCCCGCACCACACAAACCCAATTCAATTGACGGCAGTATCGATACATTTCACAGAAGGAGTGCACCTGATTGAATACAAAAACACCGACGCCAAATGCAACAAAGGGCATTGCAAGCATCAACAACCACAGCACAAAACTGCACTTGGAAGCCGATGTGAAGGCAGGTGTCAGAAGGGAAAGGAGAGCATAGAGCATCCACGACACGAAGGCTTGCATTAGTAAGTTGGCGAATACAGTGCAGAAGATACCGTGCAGATCTTCCCACTGAAATGATAAGAAGTTTTGAAAAAAGAAAATTAAAAGGCTATAATAATGACAAAGTGATAAAAATATAACAACTTAAGATAAATCAAAGACATACATCACGTGGTAAGACCTTTGATGGGTGGAAGGTGGAATGGACACATCAATGATGAACAAATGAACGTAATCGAGACAGATGCGTAGAGAGTTTAGTAAAAAATTGTCTAATGCATGGGCTTATCAAGTAATCAATCAGCTTTTGGTAGATATGGTTAAAGTTCCTTCACACATTTTACAACCTTACCTCTCTCAACGGTTTCATGCATTTGCGCATCTCATACACAAAATGACACACCTCACACATCCTCGACTCGCTAATTTCAAACCAATCTTGGATACACTTCTCGTGGACATATTTCAAACTTCCGTCACATAGGCACGGCGCAATTAATCGGCCACGAGAATCCAACGCCACATTTTTCGAGGATTCATTAGAATCGTAGCAGATTCGACAAAAGGGGAAGCCATGACTGTTAATGCTGGTTGTTGATCCAACACATTGAAGATTCCCAGTTCCACGCGAGAATAAGCAGGGAGACACAGAGAGTGCAATAAAAGAGTTGGAGAAAGACGATTGCAATGTTTCATCACTTGCAGCGCAAAGTTGGAAGGAAGAATGAAGAGGTGTAGTGATCCTGCCATCTGCTGTCCCGTCAGCGCCTTTTAATTGCTTTTGTTCTCCCTCTGCTACATTGGTCGTCTATTGCATGAATCTTATGCTAGTCATTTATCACAACTCCTCAATCTACAAAACTCAATATTCCATATTTCAAGGACCCAACATGTGATGGATAGTAGAAGGCTATTTGACGCCCGGAATGTCACATCTTGATACACACCTACAGAATCGACTACTCGAGGTCCTCAATGCATTTGCTCTTCCCAGAACTTCATCTATCTATCTATCCACTACACCGAACTTATGTTCTTCTAACGAGAATAATTCTATTGTAATTACAACAAAAAATTGTGAGATGGCTATTTCCACAAGTGCAGTATTACATGTAGGAGAGTATTAGAGAAAACATTGAAAACAGAAACTTCCGTCAAAAAGCATAAACGCTTGCCGTCACATGCCTAGCAAATTGGTGCGAATAGTGTAACCAGCAGCAAACAAGGCTACCCTATGTGAATACACCTTGTCCCATTTAACACTAATGCCGGATACCAAATGTAAAAAGTCTTCATATTGATTATTGCAATCCTAAATCTAAAATTGAAAGCAAGAAAGTGGAAAGTGTGAAAGAAAACTCTTCTCAACTGTTTGATGTATGCTGCGTCCAAATTAGCGCACATCGGTGCTAAGGTTAAGGTATGCACGAATGTTTAGCCAAATAAGAAAGCGTTCACAGTCGCAGTAAACTCTCGGCCACAGATTACCCACTGTAATATGGCAACATAGAGCATTTAATGTGGTTTGACCAAGACGGGTGCATGGCGAATAAATGGAGCTTTCATACAAAAAGCTGGCAAACAAAAATTACACTAAAAAGCAGCAGCAATAAACGGCAAGTATTACAACCGAGTAAACTCATGTCCTTCGAATTTTGCGGATAACTTGTCAACGCAATATTCGACAGAAACCAATTTACAGAAAAGCAAGGTGTCAATTCATAACAGCAAGATCAAGCAACGTGCAAAAACCTTAAAAGTGCACGTAAATGTAAAACTTAGCAACATCAATACATTCAAATAAAGAATTTTTAAGATTAAATTTACGCACGTTACAGTCCACCACATCTTTGCAATAATGCTTGTGCTTTGCGGACTCCTCTAATTCATCCATTTGCTCAGTGCCCAACTTTCCGTCCATCAAATTTTACTGCATGTATTTGCCTGAAATACATAACAAAACAAGACTCACTACAAGTCTGTGAATGCGAATGATCGACGAAACTTTGGACGACAAATAAAAGCCAATCTGCTCACTTAAACAAACCACGGGTGAGAATATTAGACTAAAAAGACGTTTTGCGTAGGTAAATTTAAATTTCGCTATAATATGGTCACTGTAAGGGTTGACTTGGCACAGACTGCCCAATTTGTGGCTATATTATTACCAGATTTATCTACACGCACCTAAATTTGTACGAGAAATTACGGCATTCCCTTTCCACCTTAGTAAACTAAAGGAACTTTTTGAACATTAAAGAAATTTTGCATTTAATTAGCATTGCTACCTACTTTATTGAATTGGTCGTATGATCTCTGCTTAGGATTAGCTTTATGCAGATTTTGCATTTTATTCTTTGTAGATTAAATGACTTTTGTTAGCGATAAGTGAGGTTTGTAAATACTTTAAAAATGCTGCGTAAATTTCTGCTCTTTTCTTAATTACTTACTGGGTTATTAGGCTACGTGCTAGAAACACAGATCTTTCGTACTCTTGGTACTAAAATATATTTTAGCTCCTTAACTCCCTTTTTAAAAGAACTGCTGGCTAACCTGATCAATTTCAAAGGTTTGTTTATTGCTCAAGTATGCGCAAATGAAAATGACACTGCCCAAGTGGCTAAGGCGAGATTGGTCTGTAGTAATTCAACCTTCAAACCGATGCTGCAAGTAATATTCTCTGTGGTTTAAATACAACAAAGAACATGAACAGTTGTTTTGCAAGCTTAGACAACTTTTCGCTGAGAGAAAAGTACCGTCCACCACAATTCATGACATTCCAATGGTTGTGTGAGCAAAGCCTCCGAGAGATATATAAATGATGAATGGATGGGAGCAAAAATTTCAGATGATTTAGTCGATAATTGGTTTCAAAATGGATGAGTAAACTAGGAATGGTAGAAGGAATGCATTTTTAAATTAAATGCGATTACTCAGCCAGGCGGTGGTTCTGTGACAAATCCTTTGATGTATAAGTTTGTGGATAAACCAGGGACTACTTGGTAGACTTGCATACGGCTCTCCCTAAACTTTTAGCAGCCTCATTCCTTTTTATAATTTAGAGCATGTTGACGCCCTTTACCCAGTATGATACAGTTTGTACTTTCTGATAGAGTGATTCTCTTTTATTGCTGATTACATCACTTGCGGTCATATTTCAATCATCCGCCGCACAGGCATCGCCCAAATGATCATTTCTTACATCATTTAGACAGATGGTACTTTTAATTCTTCATCCTTTGACCTTGTTAATACATTCGCTACAAATTGGTCTCTGCGACTTAAAAAGCAAGGCGAAATAAAATCTGTGATTGGGTAGTAAGAGGAATAAATGGACAAATGTGAAGATAAACAAAGATACGAAGATTTAGAACATTTTAATCGATATAAATAAGTGCATTTGGACTGATAAAATGCGAGCCTTACACAGGTAAGGCTGTCAAAGAACTTGCCTCTAAATCAGCGCTAATTTCATAAAAGGTGGTGGATAAGCTCCACTGAAATGGGTCAGTGAAGAATACACACTTAAATTGTAATCATGAGAATAATTAATATGTTCGGATTCGACAGTAAATTGTAGGACGCCTAAGCTTTGCCGCAGTATTTAATAAAAAAGACACCAGAGACCATATTTGACAAAAGGTTGCCAATCAAACATCAATTTAAATTAATATGAACATACTTGATTGTTTCTTGTCACGTAATTACTCCTGACGACATCGGTCAGCTTATACAAATCTATCAAAATCTTGTATGCTGTCACCTTGTTTGCTGATTCCGACACATTTTTAATGCCTAATGTTAACTCTACACCGACGGATTTTGCGTCAAAACCGTGACTACAAATGGGGGACGTGAATTCGGGTGCACCTATATTTATACTAATCCGCTCAATTAAACAAAATAAGGGTCTAATTTCTGAAGTCATTTAAAAAGTCGCAGATTGCAATGATGTGTTTTGTCTCATTTTTACCCCGTATTAATGAAATTGCTAAATAAGAACGGTCAACGATTTGCTCTTTTCTAATATTTCATCCATTTCAGAGCACAGCATCAAAATATTTTCTTAATTTCACCTTTTACGCGTATTTTGAAACGTCAGAGGCTATGAAATACATTTGCACGAGTTGATTGGTGTCCTCCTTCCTCGTAAGACCTGGTAGAGAATGTCTCTACACCGTCAGTGGATGGAAGATATGAGGAGTCACAACTGTCTGCACGAGAGCGAGTGACAAATGAAGAAGCAGTAAATCTTGAGTAATAAAGCCGCCTTTCTTAATGGTAGGAGTGTAGAAGCCCTGGAGTACCCGAATTACTATAAATTAACAAAGTCCACTCCCATACGACCAAAGCCTTCCGCCAAGTAACATTCCTAACTAAATATCTGTTTAATGCACGCAATCGCCTTTTAATCTAAGGGGTAGATAAGCACGTCAGATGAAAGACGCACACGCAAAACACGAACTTCGCCCATCAATTTCAGCTTCTTTCCGTGTAGACTCAACCGTTGTCAACATATGGCAAAATCTAATATAACTCTCAAAACATAGTCATAAAGTGAAGATCACTCTTTGTTTAATAACCTTCCACCTTCGGTGTTCCGTCCTCAGTCCTTCAAACGCAAATTTATCACAAGTAGATCATAATGATTGCTGCCCATTTGTCCTAACTCACCGACTTGGTTTTAGTTTGTTCTTCAAAAATATCCAAGCAGCGTTGACCGTCGTCACTATGCTCATTCGTCTATTCCTCCAGCAGTCCACTAATGCCATTTAAGCAGACAGGTAAATCAAGACAATCAGGATTTACACTGTTGGCGTGAGCGACATTGAAGAATACAGTGACACATTTGGAAATCGAAATGACCAGCCAATCATCACAAGGCAAAAATTACTGCACCTTCTTTCCACGACATCCAAAAAGAGTAAGCGTCCGCAGTTTACCGAATTCTCTACTTTGTAGGCTTTAACACTTCACTCCACTACATCTGGTTAGGCAAGATCGATTAACTGGGAATTGAAGGTGGAAGGCTCCATTAAAATCATGCAAGCATTTACAAGTCCAGTAGGCTTTTACCCATTAGTACCACTTCAGCTAAGAGCAGTCTATATTGCGATAGCTCGAGCTACGACCATGCTGAGAAGGAAGATAAAGGGTCGCTTCCTAAGTAATGGTGATAGTTATTGAGTTGACTCCTTCAACAATGCACTTTGAATTGGTAGAACCTTTATGCTGCAGACAAAACTTCACCTTCTAGTTAAAATCATAATCATCACATACCAATGATTTCAACTAAATTGTCGGTTGCAGCTCACTCAAACCGGTTCCATTTAGTGAAACATTATTTAGCAGGAATTGTTATCTAATTTTCACACCACAAGTTAAGCTTAACAGCACAAAACTCTCAGCTTTAGATAATACCAAACCTGCTGAATTCACCTGACTGCAAAATCTGCACTTAAACGTTAGATCAGCAAACCCCTTGGAGGCCTTTGGTGCCTCCTTCTCCTCCTCCTCCCTTTGAGCACAAATGTGGACCCATTTAGAGTGACCTCCCATGCAGCCGCTTTACTTAACCTGAATGCGAAGAAGAGACACTCTTGTCGATGGCCCGTTATCTCAAGACACCACTGAAAATCACTATCAGAAGGAAGGTATTCACTGTTTGATAACCTTTCTCCCAGCAGAAGATCAAAAGGATATAAAGTAGAGCGCTTCTATCCACAGACAGAGGCACGGCAAGATTAAAACGCCAACGATATTTATGAGGTGAAATCAGTGGAAAGGCATTTACTCCTACTACGACATACATTAGTACCTCTCCCAAAAATTAACATCAACTAGCAACCTAAAAAGAAGTAGATTCGAGTATAGCTCTCTGTAGGTCCTGAAAACTGACATTGGAAGAGGACAAATGTTAGTAATGAGGTTCCTTTCCTTGGATGTCCTTCCTGATTCCAGTCATCCTTGAATGTATTCATTTATCCACCCATCCTAAAACCACTAGCTTATGTCATTCTTCTGTAATCCAAGCCATTTTTCCTCAATCAGAGTGTGCGCATGTGGAAATGTTTTTAATGCAAAAGTCACAAATGCTTTATATTTTGCTAATATTTTAGCCTCCTATTTCCATATCGAGGTGGGTGAGTGGAGAGCTACGAAACTTAAGAGAGTTTCTTTCAACCGAGTATCCTTTGTGACCTTATCTGTGATTCTAACCGACCCCTAATTAGGATAATGGTATGTGCACCCAAGATTTTACTTCTTTTCTATTCACCATGGCATATTTCAGCGTAGATTCTACCGGTTTAGAGAGAGTGCTTCTGGCTAGACGATAGAAGAAGTCGAGTAGAAAATAATTTGTTGCTACTTTTCCGCTCCTTCTAAATGAAAAGTCATTGCAGTAAGTCGTTAGCTTGCAATACGGTCCATTAAATTGATACTATTCTCCTTTATAGTGACAGAGGTATTCAGTCCAATAGACGAAAACTCGGACGGAGCAGGTAATAATATGGGCCATAAAGTGCCATCACACATAAGCCCTAAGGTGGTGAAACAAGAGGGCTGGCGATTTAAGAAAACAAAAGGCAAATAAAGCCACTGAATCACCAAGAGTGCGAGGTGCAGCATGGTGGCTCTGCAGAAGAGAAGGAACAGCAATTTCATTGAAAGAGGAAGTGGTGTGAATCACAATTCATGCCAATCCATGGGTCGTGAAACCAATTTTCCAGTATTGCATGGATGAATGAACGCGGAACCGATAGGTGGGAAAAGGAGTGAATAGATACAGCTCGGATGATTTGAGGGGATGCCATTGAAATAGAGGTACAAAATAGGTGGTTGATTTTGAAATGGATTTAAATATAATTGGTGTAATTAGTGTACTTAAATTAGCTTTCTTACCCTTTGCAAAAGAGCCTGTTTTTTTTTAGGTCCGTTCTGTACTTAAATCCACTAATCGTACATCAATGGACCATTTGTCTTTAATTTTAACTTTTGAAACCCTTCTCGTGGACAACTTTTAAACATCTTTTGTACAGAAATGACACAATTAATCGGCCATAAGAATTCAACCCAACGGTGCTCATTGACTAACCTGGTTTTCGACTTATACAACAAATGCGTTCATTTGGATTTAGAAGTCGAAATGCAGGAAGTCTTGTAGCCCCTATAGATGAATAGATTTGAATGGGTTAATAGGTTTAAAAATGTCACCCAATGAGCATGAGGTTTGTAAAAGACTACTAAAATTCGCAGAAATGGCACATTGTGAATGTGGATAAGCAAAAGCGAGGATAGGGAAAGGGATGGAGCAGTTAGTTGCTCTTATTTTTACTTCCTTCTAAGGAAAAATATGTAAGCTACTCAAATTTGTCAAATGTACATCTTTGCTCATGCATTTAGTTCATTTGAAGGCATCCTGCAGAGCTCTGAATTGTCACCAAGGATGCAATAGACCATGTAGATGGTGAGAAAGTCTAGTGTTTATAACGCCTAAATGTCCATAGGAATGACAAGAGGGCAAATAAAACCACAGGGAATGAAGCATCCGTTTCATTCTTAACATCGCCGTTCGGTTCCTCTGAGCGTCAGTTCTGCTGCCCTCCATGCCTAATCTTCTGCTTCCGTTGTCACAGGTTGTTGAATGAGTTTAGTGCAACAACACAAATTGCAGTTGTCTTGATTTGCCTCTCTACTCAAATAGCATAAGTGAAGCGTTCTTTTTAATGAACTTAACTGGGACTTCAGAAATGGATGACAGAATACGATGACAACGGTCACTGTTGAGTGGAGATTGTTGAAGAATAAACTAAAATTAAGTTGGCTAGGTAAGACAAGCTCACAATAATCACTACAATCTGCTTGTGATAGATTTACATTTAAAGGAGTGATGTCTGAATACAGTGGGAGGAGCGGCATTTAATAGCGACTGTCCTTCAATTTATGATTGTAGTTGAGGAGTGTAATTAGATTTTGTTATAATTTGACAGCGGTTGCATCTACCCAAACAGATAACAAGATGGCTGTTCATGTTTATGCGTTTCGTCTTTCGTCTGACGTGTTTAACTACTTCTCAAAATAATTGCGAAATTATGGCTATTGAAGGGGTAGCTAATGTAATTGACACTTGGTCGACGCTTTCGGCTGATAATGACTGGGTATTAATAAATTTGAAGAAGTCGGGTACCAAAATCTTCCTAATCCACTGTCTCATTTAAATGTGACTCACGCACTCATAGGTTTCGCCTCTTCCACGATGAATATTCGGCATTGTTTGAGCAGCTGGGACTTCTTATTCCTTCCATTCATTAGCAATATCAACGCATTTGCTGTGGGGATGTCTAGGGGGGGGGGGGGGAGGATAATCAGTCAGGTCTCTCGTGTCAGCTTTCGTCTATCTCCTAAGCAGAATGTGGTCAGCTCAATTGGGATCACGATTTGTACTCTATCATAACAGAACCCCCTCACCCAGTTAATGCCATTTAGGCATTCACTAACCAGCCATAAAGTGATACTTTGAGCTGTTTCCTCCTTATTGATTCATGTCACAATGAAGTTAGCATCCTAAGGTGCAAAAAGCAATAAAAAGGAAATAGAGTATTCAAAAGTGCTAGTTTTATGTATTTACGATCTATAAAAGCAGTCAGCAGCTCTTTCACGTCATCTATGGACGTTTCAGCTAGTCATCATAGACTTAAAACCTCTTTTGTTGAATGCGCAGCCGTCCTGTCGACAAAGTACTACTCAAATACTATTGTTTACGGCACCTTAAAATTACATCTTGATAGGTCGACCCCAGACGAGGAGTTTTCCTAATGGATTGTGAAGTACAAAGGAGAAAGTAGGTAATTGGACGTGCGGACGTGAAGTTGATTAATTTGCTATTCTCAATTAGCTTAACCAATCTCAATCTGGTTTTAAGTAGAGGGGAAAACTACTAGAGCATTGCAGAGCTTTCGCTCTTTGTAAGGGACAAAGATTTCGTTGTGTCCTGACCACAGCAGATTTAGTATCTAGTTCTATCCCCATTGACAAAAACAGGAGACCTTGCGAGCTCTTCTTCAGAACCCTTTCCCGGTCGCTGTATATGTCAGCACAACCCCAGATACCGACTTAGAGAATTGCTGTAGCGCATTAATCCAAATCATCACCTAATCTCGTAAGAGGAACAGGCTTTAGTAGGAGGGATCTACCGTAGTGTTCAAAAGATGGAAAAAAAGACAATTACGTCTTCTGCAACTTGCCACCAGGAAGAGCCAGATGCAAAGACGTCCAGTTTAGACACTGAATTCGTCCACACATTGTAGCCGACAAACTCTGCAGTAAAGACAACAACTCGCAGTGAGTTGGTGAATTTCGGAGAGAAGAGAAGTCAGGAGCTGCTTACGATGGTATCAAGTTACAATAACATAATTCCATCGATGCCATTCGTGCCCTGCCCCTAATCTAAATTATTTTTTGTTTTTTCCAACTTGCTCGTTTTCAAAACACTTTTACACATTCCTGAAAACCTAGCGCAGCTTCAAAGGAGGCTTTCACGATTTCCTTTGTGGTTCTGGCGCAGCTTGTTCAATCATACATTCCGGGAATTTCCGGTTCCATAATCAAAAATTGATTGTCATATCGTGTAACAGACTAAAATTAATAGTGAGAAATAAGATTCTTAGTAGACGGAGAAACGCATTTTCTCGTTTCCACAAGCAAGAAAACTTATGTAGGGAATTCTCTTATCTGTGCAGCATTTCCGCGGGATATAGTCTTCGGAATTGCTTTCCGACGTAGTACCAAAGCTATTCTGAACTTTGCAGAAGCCACCTCTACCCACTAAGAAAGGGAGGCCACAGTGTTTGGACTGCCCTGGGAACTACCCAGATGCGTACCACTCCCTCTGCTAAAAGTAATCCGTTTAGCTGACGACATGCTCAAAGACGTAGTTATAAGACTGCAAGAAACCATGAATTTTACCAATTGCTCCTATAAAGAAAAAGGTAGGGGGATTCGGCCGTGCGTCGATTATAGGAAACTGAGCTCAGTAGTAAAGAAGGATGCCCTTGCCCTACTCCATATTAATAATTCCTTAGACTGCCAACACGAGTCAAAATGAATATTGACAAATAAAGATGGCTTTCTTCATATCCAATGGCCATTATGCATTCTAAAGGATATCCTTGCTCTGACTACTTCATTCCAAAAACATTGATAATATTCCAAGACAACATACTCATTTTTAGTGTAGATATTCAAAACCTTCTACTGATTAAAAATGAATGGCATACTACCTGCAAGAAGTAGGCTGGCACTGAACCCAAGGAAATGTCATTTTCTGCAACACTCAGACGTTCTTATAGTATTGTCAGAAAACCGCATAAAGCAAGTCAGAATCCGGTCCACACCAATTAATCAGAAGGAACGCCATAGTTTCCCAGGCTTAAGAAGTTACTCCAGACATTTCGTTAAAGGTTTCGCCAAGGTCACAATCCTGTTACAGAAACTCACGGAATAGCAGGCCGAGAAACATATGAAGTGCCAGAAAGAGCACAATGAATTGTGCAAGGAGTTGGAGCAAATGGTACGTTTCACACCAATTCTTGGATTATTTACTTTCAAAATCAAGTACCTCGCGCTTCGTTCTAGACATTGACACTAGTGGTACAGCTTGTGGATGGCGCACTTTTATAGAAGGTCGGCAAAGGTCTGGAACAAGTCATTACTTTTGCGAGGACCTAACTCAATAACCGGAAGAGACCGAAGAGTGACACCCAACTCGACCTGTTCCCTGATAGTAAGGAAGTTTATGGTAAGAAATGATTGCTCAAGCATTCTTAACTTCGGAACAAGTACCTCTGGGGATGGCGAAGCAATGCCTAGGATTAAACCCAAATCACTATTCATCCGCCAAAGCACGGTCCACCTCCGCCAGATGTGTCTCCCGCACCATTCTGATTGGTTACACCCATTCATCATATGATCGCCAAGTTGTCATATATGTTCCCAGAAGTTTACCCTCTCATCTCACATTCAACCTTCTATCTCACGAGGATGAAACATATCACCGAATCTTACAAGGTTTTTCTCCATTCCGTTGCTGATCGATTGCGGTTAACCAAGTACCCTCTTCTTCGAGATCTAATAGCTGAGCTAGCCGCAACCTTAATATATGTCGCTTTTGGTACAGGTGTGGCAGCCCAAACTCAACTCAATAAACCCTCTTTCGGTACAAGCATAGATATCAGCTTCGGCTACGCCGCCGGCTGGGCTCTGGGACTATTTGTCGCCGGTTCTCGTTCCCCAGGAATGTGCAATCCATGCGTTGCATTTGCCAACGCACTTATCGGTCGGTTAGACTTCCTGACAATGCTCCTCTTCTGGCTAGCCGAGCTGATTGGCTCAATTTTGGGATCTCTGTTTGTCATGGCTGTCTACTGGGAGAAGATCATGGATTACAAGAACACATATGACAATGGCACTTTGCTTATGAACTCTACAGGGACGATTTTTGCCAGTACCGTGAATACGACGATTGGATCATTGTGTGCTGGACAGGTAATTACGACAATGCTAAAACTTGCAGCGATAATGGCTATTTTGGACAAAAATAATTGGAATTTTCCCTACTTCTACGTGATTATTTATGCTACTGTGGTTCAATTTCTAACGTTTAATGACTTCACTGTGCAAACTACATCAGCCGGCAATCCAGCATACGATCTTGGTGGACGAACGGCGCTTTCTATGACCGGTAAGAAGAGAACGAAGAAGGGGATAACAAACAACATCTACTACTAAAAGTAAAAGCATTTTTTGGGTATTTTGCGCTCTCATTTCAGGCTGGGGTTCATCTCCATTCACCTACGCTAACCACGCCTTCTGGGTGTTCCTTGTGATGCCGTTGGTTGGAACTATTTGCGGTGTTCTGCTCTACGAACTCGTGGTTGGTGTCCACTTGCCAGGAGCTGGAGAGGATGAGGGACCCTCGAAAATTGAAAATGGCGATGAATCGGATGTTTATAAAAAATAAAGAGGATAAACAAACTTGGATGCTTTATAAGAATCGCGTTCAAACAGATTATTTATTTTGCTTCTATATGCACTTGTATATGCTTTTATAATGTGAAAAAGTAAGTGTAGTACCAATTTCTTGTTATGTGCTTCGGTGAAAAGGTACAGGATTGCTGGTAGTCAAGAAACATGGACGACGGAACACAATCAAGGCCATATGTGAGGTCTGCGTAGATGTCATAATGCAACAGACTAAGTGTTCTTGTCTCCATCTTGTCTGAACCGTTGCCCTCGGTTTTCTCAGCTGCTGTTACACACATTTTTGTACAAGAGTAACGTTTGCGCAGGCAGATTTCTTGGAACCATCCACATGCCAGTCAATGAGCCTCTTTTAGCAAACTGCACATGCGAAGTAGAGCAGAAGTTAGGACAATGCTAAAAAGATGCGAGAAATAGAAAGATCGGATAAGGGCGAATGATTAGAGTGTTCAAGGCTTATGATCGGACGCATGGAAAGAATGGTCGCGATTGTTTGATCCCGAAATGACTAGATGGATTAGTATTTGCTATGACAGGTCTATGCTGGATTATCTCTTAGGGGTGAATTTAAATTTACCTCGTACGGTAACAGGTTTAAAAATCAACTTTTATAACACTGTCTAACATATCTAACCTCTATTCAGCCAATCGACCGCAAGGAGTCGATTGAGCGTAACATTAGACTGACGGTTGGAAATTTACCTCCTTGGCAAAAACATTGCGACCTAATCCAAAGTGTTTCGCTCATTGTCAGATCAATCCACATTCTGACTTTATTTGCCACACCGCGGTCCTTTCAGTCACACCACCTTGCCACACCCACTGAAGCAGAATTTGGGAGTGGTTGGGTGTGGTGCCACCGAATGCCATCACTGGGTGGTAAGCATTAATCTATGCAAGGAATACAATAAGAAACCTCACACGGAACTCGACAAGTTCTTAAAAAGTGAGCACACTACTTACAAACTTTGCTAAAAAAAAATGTGAGACTAGTAGATATTTCAGCCAATCAACTTCAATTTAGAAAATTTGGCAAATCAGTCAACTGGAGGATCCAGATCGTCTATTCAAACGACCCTCTCCTTTTAGAGGTTGTTAAGCTGAGACATTACACATGTACATCTGAAGTAAAGCACTGAGAGCAGTTATTACTGGTAAAAAGTCCAAGTCATTAAACACTAGTTTGTACTTCTCTTCACCGAAATGGTCTCGCTGGTTTGATACCCTTGATGGAGAGGCATAAAGTAGCAGATTTTGCTTAAAAACCTCACCAGAAGAGGAGGACACTACGCGCAGTGGTAATGTGAGATCTACAAATGATCAAGGCTAAATGATTAAATTAGGGTGTGTCTCTCTCCTCTCCCTCTAGGTTGATAGGTATTTTTTTAATCACATGATCTTAGAGCTTTGACGAGGCTCCGAAGTTGCACAACATGTATAGGGACGAGTGAGCTCCCATTTCATTACCATTCGAGAATTGTTAAGATGCAAATGGGAAAAGGGACGATTTAACGGGTCAGTGAGGGGGCAAGAGGAATCCATGTCACTTGGGGAACGACTTACTCGTCTGGAATTATTTTCTCTAGTGGCAAAGACGCACGATTCGCTTAGCCTTTGTTAACCAGTGCAAGTTGTTTAACTTAATAATTTACTTATTGAAGGACAAAGCCAAACAGGCTGCTTTGAATAACAGCTGTGAGGCACACGAGGCGTAGGATGACATCTTGTCATAATGTGAGAAAAGGCTGATGTGCAAATTTACACTGTCATTTTGTAAGAAGTGTTTGGGTCCACCGTAACATACACTTATCAGTAGCGCCGATGCCTCATGCAATAGGTGAAGTGTGATAGCACTTGTCCAAAAAGACCATACAGTTTACTGCGTAATTTTGCTGTTAAAAATTGACGACGACGTGTGATAACTCGTATGCAGTAACAGAATGCTTGTCATTGTTTGTGTACAAGTATTCTAAAGCGTAAGTCGGTAGGCTTTACTCCACCGGTTTAACGTGCCCCGTTTATTAAGCCTCCTCTCACACCATGTCAATTGTACCCACTGTATCCATAGCATCCATTTTATCAACTGAACTTGATTTAATTCTAATCTGCCTTCCTAGACTGCTGCAACTTTCCCTAAAATGGTTGTTGCGGAGCATTTGGTGAAGGTGTGGGCTGACAGTGTGAGACGCCATCTTACCGTTCTGGTGCATGAAGGACTACGCCTCCATATGGGATAAAATAAGTTGGAGATGACACATGAAGAGCTCTTTCACTCATGTCCAACGCATAGACAAACGAACGCCTCACACCCTGTTCTACAAATGGGGATAGGACTGATTATTTATTAATTTCCTGTTCTTCAACTCTTCCACGTACGTTATTAAGGCGTCGTACAGCTTGTTTTGATTTTTGAATAAACTGTTTACTCATTTGTCTACTGACCGGTTTGCTTGTGACTAGTTTGTCTGCTTAACCAGAAGGAGGATGAAGTTTTCCTCGAATGACTAATGGGTAATGTCAATCCCTGTCGGGCCAATGTAGTGTCAATGCTGACTAAAGAAGAGGGCGAAAAAAAGAGAGAAGTAGAAGGCTAGGAAAAATGGCAAGGAGAGGTTAGAGAAAGGAAAGAGTTGTACAATTTACCTCAAATGAGAAATTGAGGAGACAAAAAGAGGCGATAGCACTAATAACTAAGCTAGTAGGATAATGGCGACGATGGTTAGATAGGTGTGACTAGGTGTGATAAAACAATCATTGGTACCATCATTACCACCGAAACCTTCACACCCACCAAAGCCGAACCTCGTGAGATGGGACGTTGCATTTTTGAGTGCGTGTTACCCTAGGCCCCTGCCAACTAGATTGGCACTTGTTTTCCTATGAGTGAGGCCCACCTACCAGTCAGTATTGGCAATTATTTATGCCAGGACTGATGTTTCACCTCCATCCATCAGTCACTCTATTCTGCAGTAACCACCGCCTCCAAATGCGCTGGCTGCTTACCGTTGAATTCACCTAGGGTAGCATCCAGCAGGCAGACTGCAACGAAGCAAACGCGAATTGGTGAGTCATGGCGGTACAAGTGGGTTGTATTCAGACTTAAAACCAAAGCCTATGCAATGCGTCAGGGCCTTGATACACCCAGAAGGAGTAGTTAGGAGGCTATTTTCTGGTCCAAATAGTACAAATACCTTGGAAGTCCCTTTGAGCAGAGTGTTGAAGTAAAAAGATGAATTCGCGTAAGTTCTCTGCCGTAGCTAGTAGCCAATTGCCCAGTCTCCTTTCGATTCATATGAACCACCAAATGTGGCAGAGTATTTGTTGGCGTAGTGTCTGCGCTCCTAAGGGAGAAATCATGAAACATCGTATGTTTTGTTGGGCGCGATTATTAGCCAAGCAATGTAACTATACCCTTCGGTACTGACAAAAAAACGGCATTGCGATGCTACTTTGGTTAGTATTTCTAGGACTAATCACTGCCTAAAAATAATTTTACCCACTAGTCCGTCAAATTAGGTCTTGTTTTTTGATAGCTTGATGTTTACCACAAATTGTACCCACTTTATATTTGGATGGCCTTCCAAGGGGCATAGAACCTCCTAATTCTTTTGTGTTTACCTAATAAATCTTCAGTATCAATGCCACATGGTCGGCAGCGGTACCAAAACCCAATTTCATGGAACAGTCATTCTGATTTCTTGGACTAATTACTAGATGTGATATTCGCTGTGGATGATCTACTTCCATGCAACTTTACAATAGAGTTAAAACGGCATTACTTTTGACAACTATATAATTTTCGAATTTTTATGCAACAACTACTTATGGAAAATGACAAAACTTTACTATCATGCTATAAGTCCTTCGATGAAACAATTTACACCAAAGTGTTTGTAAGCCCATGCAACCACAAAAAAATAGCTGGCATTCAAAATAGGCATGCTGAAGAGCATAATCCACACTTTGGCATTGACACCCAAGCCGATTTTTCCTTGGATAGACACAACATTCAGAATTCTCGGGTGGAGCTAAAATTGTGCGTACCACTGCTGGTAATGGAGATTGCGTTCTCCATCTGATGTGGTTTCGTCATCTTCGATTCGGTCTCGTGATTGATTGCAGTCTACAAAAAAACTTTTACGGTTGACGCAGAGGAGTGAAGACGGAGAGCGCCAGAGACGAAGCTGAAAAAATGAGAGCTGCGCTGATTTCGTGCTTGACATACACCTTCACCCATGTGGGCTGTTCGATCTGAGCAGGTTGCACTTCCATTTGGTGATGTAACTTTTTGACAGCTTGTAGCCTCCTAGCCCTTCTTCACTTTATTTTTCTTCCACTTAATCAGTAAAGCCTATTAGCTTAGGAATTAGAGGCAATGCAAAGATGTAGAATTAGGACCGTGAAGGCTTAATGAGGGGGTGGTGTTGAAGCAGAGCCACAACTACGCTAATTACTTGCAGTAATCAGACTTTTCCGCCTCTACACCCACGGCCTCCACAGTGGGAGTATAGTACACCGCCACTGTTCTCTTGTGTAACCACATCTTTAGAGGTAACGCCTCCGCTACGTTGTTGGCCACAGTAAGAGATGCCTGAATTTCTCTAAGACCTTATGAGGATAGCCACTTTAATTTATGCTACAATGGCGATATCCGTCAAAATGTTTTAGACAGAGAGGTTTTTGCTTTCATTCGGTTAGTAGACTGACCTCCTTCATGCGATTATCAGTGTGCCACTTTGATAGCTCTCCTCTCCCACACCACTTGCACAGGTCCTTCGGTTCATCAATCTTCCAATCGTTTGAGTCGAGACCTTAAATAAAGTGGTAAGAAAGCGAGCTTGCGAACTAACGTCTCCCAGGCAGCCTAATCCTATCCATCATAACCATTCTAACCAAGATAGACAAGAAACATAACTCAACTGCTCGAATCAACCATTTTTGAGTCAGGCAGATATCTGCACCGGGACATATAGATGGCCATAGAGAGAGTGAGAGGGAGAAGTAGGGTACAGACACAGACAAGGAGAGGAACAGCGACAACACCAGGAGGTAGAGTCTAGACGGCTAAAAGGGAATTTGCGATCCAGTCAGGGATGCCTTTGCATCCACATTCGATTCTTCCTCCCGTTTTTGCTGATAATATTTTATTACTTTGACACCGCTAGTAGCGACATTGACAACGAAAGCGGAGGCGTAATTGCGACTGTGAGCGGAGCTACCACCAAAGCCACAATCGCCAGTCGCTGTCCGCTTCATCGCAAACCCATTTTTTGGCAGATACTGGTTCAGGCAGGGTGGAACAAACTTTGGTAGGTCCAGAAGCTGAAAGTACGAATATTTGCGATAGCTTTGATTGTAGGCTCTTTAACAACGCATCTACGTTTCACTAACCGACCCATTTCTTTTAATATCATTAACTAGGGTAACAAACAACATTGGCAGTGCGTGTATCAATGGTACACCGTTCGGTGGTGGATGAACGCGCTAAACCCGAACCCGAGAACAACTACGGACACCTACAGAGGACTTCAGTCGATGTACAGTACGTACGGTGATGGTACTCTCAGCAGCAAGCTATTTGGTTAACTGGTGTAAATACTCAAAAGACGGCCCCTTGTACGTCCTTCAGTAACGCTCTTCACACTAGTGATTCCCCCACTCTTAGCACAGCAGCCGGCCCTATCAACTTCCAATCAGTACGCAATTCTGAATGTCCTCATGAGGCATAACCTGGCATCCCACAAAGCTGCATAAGACATAAAATCTTTCTTTGGTAGAGGCAGTAAACACAACACACCCATTCGTCAGCATCTGCCGTTTCAACGTTGCGCACCAACAAGGTAACGACAGCCAAGTCTAAGTAAAGCAGGCTATCCGAGGTTAATTCAGTCGTGCTGACCCATCTTTTTAGCCCGAGACTACCTTCTGCGCACTGGTTTTAAGCTGATGAAAGTGGACAAGCATGGCGGTAATAAACTGTGCTAAAAGCAAGTGCACTTTCATTCCTCGAAGCTCGATGTTTTCTTTTATAAATCCGAATATTCGCATTGGAATTGAACTTGTCTCGTAGGAGAAAAAGTGGGAGAGACAACTAGATTACTAAAAATGGAAGGACATATCGTCTAGAATAGCAGTAAGTGAACCTCGAAACCACAAAAAATGGTGATTTGCTACTTTAGGCTTATTACAATTTGAGTTTTGACAGAAAGTTCATCACAAAGATGGATAACCTTGTAAATTTGTCTAGATGCCACCAATTGAAGGGCCATCTGGGCTGCTGAGGTAACGGTCAGCCTGTCCTCCTGTATCATGTGAGTTAAGAAGAGTGCAGCATTAGTGTCCACAGAATCAGGAAGGTTGGTTAACTGACCATCTCACGCAATTAACGCTTCCGTAGAGAAGCACTCGAAGAGGCAACGCAAAAGGGGACCCATTCTCAGCCGCGCCGGTGCGCCATGGTAGATGTCAGGTGGTGCGAGGTCCATGTAGGCTAGTCGCTCCAGCGGAACCACCAAAATCTGCACCGAAGAGAAGCAAAATAGACTTTTACACCAATAGTAATGAGTATCTACTAAAGTTCAATGGATGAGAAGTAACCCAAATCTACTTTCTATTAGGTAGTTAGGAAGATTCGCGTTTCGTAGGGAAAAACATTTGTCACAGTTAATTAGGAAACTCTCTCAGAGCCTGTTGGGAGGACAAGATGAAAGGGAAGTAGAAAGAGATACTACTTTTAAGCCTACTTCCTGGCTAGGGTTTTGAAAACATTACTTGTGTGGGTACTGTCAGGCTAAATATGACGGATTTTGACAACGTGCTTCTAGGCAGCCTACGAAATAGTTTCATCTACTTGGACACATGGAACATTAATCCATCTCACTCAACTTGAAAAGTAAGGCAGAAATGCAATCCAAAATTCCTCCACACGAAAAGTGCTTACGTTCAAGTCTAATCCCAGGTTAAGGCAACATAAAAATTTGGAGATAATTTAAGGGTAATGCATTGACCACTAGCAAAATGTGTATGCTCGAGATGTGCCAAACCGATTTTAAGTCGATGAAACTAACCGCCTAAAAAGCAAAATCATAAATAATTTAGTCTTTATTTCGCGTAAGTTTGTGTTGATAGCTAATGTGGGCGATTTTAGTAAAGAACTAATTGCCAGCTTGTCAGAGTCTTCAAAAATCCGAGATCTAAAAAAAGATTTTAAAACCAGTCATCGCATAGCTATTTAACTAAAAGTAGATAGGCGCGGCCTAGCTGCATAGAAAATAACTCCAAATTACTACTTCAAGTAAGCGTGAATCGCTTACTAGGGTGAGCGACAAAATGAAATAGATTAATAAGATGAAACGTAACGAAAGCCTCAATTTTATTCAGAAAAATGAAAATAAGATTTCTACCCTTCAGTGATACTTATTAGAACCTAGTAGAAAGAGTTGGTAACATGAAACTTGCATTTCGCCAATCTTGTCGGTAGATTCAAATCCGGTAGTTTCGCTTTTAGTGACCACGTAACAAACAAGTGATCCACAAACAGAGCAACACGAAAAATAGTCATCATTAGGAGAAACATCACCCACGTAATCAGGAAAGCGGCCCCATGAAAGCGGCTGTGAATCACGAATGAAGCATTGCATTAATTGCGCAACATTCTGCGACACCACCCTCGCTGGATGCGCCGTCGTTGCGCCCTAGACAGTAACAGAGAAGAGAAAGCAGTCAAGCTTCCTCAAGATGGACTGGGATGGCAGTTGCACGAAACAAACGAGGAAATGCAAAAAGACAAGTGCCTTCAGACTGCATGTCACCAGACTTTGGAACACTAGATCAATCGAGAAAAGGTATTAGACTTTATGACATCCATCCAGAAAATTCCGCCTTCCGTAATCAAAATATTCATCTACTACCGTCATAGGAACGAGATCTTTGCTGGCGCGAATTAGGCAGTAAATCAACCGCCTGCTTCATTACGGGTATGCCGGACTCTGGCATTTTGTGTTTTGGATAGGGTACCACACCCAGAGGAATGCGTCAGTGTGATGTCTATGCGTCCTCCCCCCCCTTCTGTGTGACTCATCGTGTCATCTCCTAACCCGGAAAACATCTTACCTGTCCACACACACATTCAACGCAGTGTCCGTGATTCTTCAGTTTGTTAGACCACCTTTCATCATTTACATCTTCCCCCGTTTCCCCTCAATCCTACCGATAGAGCAATGGAAGGGATTTTCAATGCATAAGTAAGCCGCCATTCTAAGGGGAAGCAGGAGTGGGACAGCCGAAGTAGCTTGGGTGGTCAGCATGAATTAGGAGCTAAGGGCATCTGCAGAACTCCAACAAATACCACCTACAATCAAAAAAGACGCAAAAAATACACATTTTTGGTTTGCTAGAGGAGAGGGCGACAGTTTCCTGCATATATGGATTATTCCCCAGACTTGGAGTTGGAAAGGTAAATCAGAGAATGAAAATCAAATTTCTTTTATCACCGGGGCTACTCCCAATGGTAAATAATTTAAAATGCGTGCTAATTTGGAATTCAATGAACTAAATAAAGTTTGGGAAAAGATTACCCCATCGCAAAATCCAGGGAAGCTTTCGTTGTACTTTGGCCGAGGGCACGACACAGCCCATCTCTCATTCTACCTGTTGTTCTTGGCACTTTCCTCTAGTCAATCCTCCGCGTAGGCCATCGCAATGTACTTAGTACTTTACAAACCACCCATTTCAGAACTTAATGACCTTCATGGAGAAAAAGGAAGTACTGCAGTTGTGAAGGGTAGACATCAGCTGCAACACCTCTGCTTAGAGATTAACAGAGAAGCATCCGTCCGCAGAGAAGCCTTACTTCCATCACAGTGAGGTTTTACATTCAACCTCAGAAGTCAGGATATTTATTCATTTAGATTGGATTCGCTTGTCGGTACAACCAATGTAGCGCCTGCGTCTTCGCTGAAGCTGTGATCAACCAAAGCACCACTGTGGATGACCATGCAGTACCAACTTGAAGAAGAGCTGTGGGATTAGCGGCATGTGCCGAAGACTGACTGACAGGCCCACTAAATCCACGCATCTCTGCCACTATCTACACTACTACTTATTCGTGTCATACCATCAGCAATCAAGCGAATTTCATTTAAAACCGCCCTTATCAAATTATTGTGACTATTTCAATGGCAATGACATTTCATTTGGTACCAGTAGTTCAGTTGCCACTCAGTATTCTTGCTCCATGGCTGTTAATTCCTTTATTTCGAAAAGTTAATGCTATTGAACGTCCAAGATCCCGAAGCTAATTATCAAGGTGGGAGAGGTGTTTGATAAAACGATGCCTTTTCTAATCGTCCATCTACACGGGATGTAAACTCTCCTGTCGCAAATACTAGCATCATGTAGAATGTAACATGGAGTATCTCAACTGATCCAACGAAAAGATATCAAACGGTAAGACAATTTTGAAATTAACTTTTATACAAATATGTGCATTGCCTTGTCAAAAAGAAGCAAGGGCACTTCAACACCATAAATTCAAAGATAGGTAAGAAAATGCAAAAAGTAACCAACCAAATTAACTGGGAAATAAAGGTGGCTTGCAAATCAGGTTTCAACAGTCTACCACATAAATCGCTGCCAAGTAAAGGGCTGTGACAACCACCTGAAGGGATAGAACGCAAAAATGTGGACAGTAACAGCATTGATGAAGGCATTCATGGCCACCTCCACGACAGGGTAACTCCTTTCCTCACGAATCCGTGGTCTGGTCAACCGCCAAACTACGTACGGTGCGATGAAGTACCTCGGTTCCAATAAACCCGCTGGCACTAGAACCAGTGCAATGGCCACAAGATAGCCTAAACTTGTCAGAAACTCCGATACACTGCCTCCACGTAAGCCACGGCACACGTAGTCTCCACATATGATGTAGACAGGTGCCAGAGTGTATCGGAAGCTTTTGTATCGACGAAATAACCGTGACCACAAATAGAAAGTGTAGTGACGATTGTCGGCTAGGAGGTAAGGATGCTCCACAGTGAAGCGATCAATCACCACGACAGTCAAGAAAAGCAGTAGGGTGATCCAGATCGAGGTGATCAGGGAGAGGCGTCTTGGAACATACAAAGTGGTGTAGAGGTAGCGAAGGAAGGCGGTTGGTGTATGGAGAGCACAGAAGACGAAGAGATAGAAGATCTGAGGGACATGCAACGTGGGTTTGTGAGCACTGCGATCACCGAGGACAATATCTCCCTGGTTAAAAACAATGACGAAAGTGGCAAAGAGAACGATCGTGGCAGTGTGATGGGGAGCATCTAGGAGAGCTGCCTTGAAGCATGAGGTGACGATATGGCCAGGATGTTTGATCAGATAAATGCACCACTGTAGAGCAGTTTTTCGAGCACAGGACTGGGTGCGAGCTAGTCGCTGAATGGCCTCCTGGCCAATCATGAATGCTAGCCAGACCACGTTGGTTTGACGTACAAAACAAGCGAAGCAACCAAACAGGAGCGCTAGGGAAGAGAGGGAAGAGCGTTGAGCATGAAGGGTCAGGAGAAGAGCAAGGAGTGACAGCTGATCGGTATAGAAGAGAATGGCTGTGAAGAAAAGAACAGGTAGAGTGGAGATGGTAAGGGCGGAAAGAATGCTCTGCGTTAATTCAGCAAGGAGGATGAAATTGGCACCGCCGATGAAGCAATTTAGGAATCGAAAGTTCTCAACACAGGCTCGAAAAGGAAGGACCTTCCAGAGGAAAGTGGTTAGAACATATAGTCCTGGAGGAGTGGTGATCTTAGGATTCCATTTTTGCCACTCGCCGTGAAGGTAGCTGATAGTCTGTTCTTCGTGGAATACCTCGTCCATGTAAGCGGTAGGTTGCACTGGATTCACGAAATAGTGAACAACACCACAGAGAACCAGTGTATAAGCAAGAGCAACGAGAAGCGCTTTTCTTCGCCTCAACATATTCTGCTAACAGTTGAAAAATACTGGTTTTGAAATTGTCCCCCCAAAACTTTCACAAGATTCCTACCAACAATGAAAAGAAAACAGCTAAGTGAGAGTAATAGCTACGGTTTCAGCCAAAACGCCCAAATAGAACATAATAGCAAAAAAAACCTTAGTTGTAGAAGAATTTGGCTTGAGCATATTTCAAGGCATGCAAAAACATCCACATAAAACTCGAAAAAAATAAGTAAACTTCTACACATTACTGAAGGAATATACTACCTTAATCGTAACAAACCCCACGATACCCACGCCGAAGAACCAAAGCCTAACGCTCTCAAAAACACCTGACACCATTTCGACGGCCTTGTATTTAGAGCGCATTGAAAGGTTTAAATGCAAGTTGGGGAGAAAAGTTTTGTGGCTCCGAATTCCAAAATAGATTACGCGTCTAAGAAATTGCTTTAAAAAAATAAGCAGTAAATAATTTTTGATGAATTGTTTGGCCATGCCATATTTAAATCTAATTATGGCAGGTCGATTATAAAATAATTGGGTAAAATCGTACATTAAAGGTGACTACACCATTTTGTTTGTTTGGGACACAAAATGTGTTATGCTTTGAGCTTTTCTTCTAAGTCTATCAACGAATTTTAGCATTAAACATTTTTCGATTAAACTTGTGGTCTGCAAGCTGTCTGGTTACCTAAACAACGCCACTCAATCAAACGCCAAATCCCTTTAGGCTTTGATAACCTGTAAGCATTTGCCACAATTTCGGAACAAAAGCTGCTCTCTCCTATATGATGTACTCCTTTCGATGGCATAGAAATAGAGACGAATAAGGAAAACAGGAGGGCTATTTAACATCGTTATAATTATCTTGAGAAACGCTAATATCCCGTGTTTTGGCGATTTCGTATTCTCCTGTTTATATTTGCATACATCTTTAAGCGTACTCATTTAGTCGGCGTAGAGTGTTTTGTAAAGTGAATGAATATTAATAAACTAACCGCTGGTTCGCCAATGCTCCCATTAAATAGTTTCTTTCAATATAGTTAGCATTAGTACAAGTTAGAAAGACTCATGGACCCACCTATTTAAGCACACAATTGCACAAATTTTTATTTTACCAAGTAGTCATATTATTTTCTCCATTTAACTTTTGTTGATAATGATGCACCAGTTGGTGAGCAAAAATGAAAACTGAACCAGCAAATTACTAGGCTGTTTTTATCTACAAGTTAAATTCTCATTTAGTACTTCTGAATGACGATAAAATAAGTCATGAAGGTTATGGAAACCTGAGCCACTTCGTGTCAATTTCAAAATAAAAAGGGGAGTAGCTGCAGAAAGCTTCTGAAAACACCTAAGTAAGCCCAACAAGCACTATTTGAGTTCTCCCTTAGCCATTGTTTGTAAATTCATTGCCACAGACTGCTTTATTTTCAAAATTGCAGACTAAAAACCTGGCCTTAGCCACACCTTTTTCTACCTCACCTCGGTTTTCCAGCTACTTTGCATTAGACAAATGCAATTCTAAGCATAGGGTGTTACTTATCAGGTTCATCCCTCTCATTCTGTGATGGTTGAGAATGAGGCATCATAACTCAGCCTTCCCAGTTCAAATTTACATCTTACGGGTATGCGTAGTGTTGACATGAGGTATGTAGTCTCGCGGTGCATCGTTCCATGGGAAGTGGAATACAACTTTCTCCTGACTAATTAACTAATTTTGCCTCTTTGCCAAGATGAAGTTTCTTCAACATGCCTTCCCGTTGCACCGAAAAGTATCGAAGTGAGGGATTCTAAAACTGACTGAGTGTCCGAAAGCAGGAAAATGCATCCATGCATTAATCCATGCGAGAGACTATCTCAGGGCTCCATTTGACACTTATGCATCCTCCTTTAAAACCGCCAAAATTCAGATTACTGCACAGCATATTTCTTTCAGTAGATACCCGTTTAAAAGCCATAAGTTTAGGTGCTGCTATTTCCTCATTCAGTGGTTTGGGGTTGAGGCCACGTCGGCAGCACTTTGTACTTGGATTATAAGGCAGTATTATCTACAAGAAAGCTATTTACGCAATATAATTTTTGCATTCCTTGATACAATACACAGGAGCGTGTATTTCTTCTTTTTTCACTCTATCTTAAGTCGTCCCTTATTTGGTTTCTTCCTGAAAATAACAAATTGCTCAGGGCTTGGAAGTAAATTTTCGGTGTTTCTTAGATTCCGTGCCGTGAATTGGTTCAAATGTGGGCAAACCGTGTACATTCCAAAAAATTCCAAATTGTGTTTTCTAACATTGAGAAATAATCTTGTTCCAACCTGCAATTACTATCCGAGAAGGAAATGTCACGACCTTCAGTGTCTTTTCTCTCAGCTTATTAAATTATTCCCCCGAAAAGTTTTTTTTAATGAAGCTCGTTCATAGGTGGCTGTAGCATTCCTTGGCATATGCCAATTTCAAATGCGCTTGTCAACTTCACCCCAGTAACTTGCTGACACCAGCACTCAGATAGAGTTAAAAGTTTATTGTATACCCAATTTCACCGTCATACTCCAATCCACTGTTTTATATGTGTTTATGACCGTGACATCGTCGCCACTTCAATTCAACCAAAGACTGACGCTGTTGCAAACGCCAGAAGTCACACATGCCTGCAGCACCGCTATTGGTCAGTTGACTTGGCCAATCGCGATGCAATGCAGGTTCACGACCCGCATGCGGCGGTGGTCTGCGTTGAAGCGGTAGCACGTTCCTCTGCAACACCAGTGCTAATAGCCATGCAACGCATAGATGAGTGCCTTGGAAGCCAAAATACTTTTAAAATCTCCTGCATGCAGTTGTTTTATTGCATTCTATGTACCCTTTGCTCCTTCGCTTAGGGTGTGGCTCGTGTTCAGCCAGTAATGCCAGGGTTCATTGCACCAATTGTTTAATGACAGCTAATGAGCTGTAAATAGATAAATAAGTAAATCGTCACTACAGGGGATGGGAGTAATTAGAAGCAAGTTGTCCAGAGTTAATGATGCACTGGTTAGTTAACTCAATCGCTCGGTACAATCTATTTTGAAAGTCAATTAAATTTTTTTTACTCAAATCAGTGATTAATCAGGTAATAATTTTGCCCCATTCTAATCGACATTTTGGGTTTGTTTACAGCCGTTTTCTGAGTCAGTGATAATTCTTGCGAAGTTGATAACCGAAATTATTCTGATTTCTTAAGTGATATTCCGGGTTGAAGCTCATTGTGAACCAATGGAATGAAACAATTGCTGATCAGAATTTCATTGACCTATGGTAGTACTTTTCAAATGCCGTTCAGTCAGCATTCATTACTTTGTCCCTGTGATTTAAGGCAATGCAATGTTTAAATCTTTGCAAGTAGGCAAGTAAAATTGACCTAAAATATTTGGGGACAGGGTGAGCACCAGAGACTAAGAAATTCGTTTTTGTTTTTAAATGTTCATTGTAATTCGGTCTAGTATGATAAAAACCCAACGCGGTAGTCAATGTAAATATTTCGTTTTGAAACGACTTTGATAAATACATTCCTAAGCCACGTCCTGACTTATTGGCTTCACCGTTAACTCCCGCCCCCTCTAATGACTTCCAATTTCATTGGTTGTGATATACACAGCCAGATGTTACTCATCCGTTGTGCCAGGTCAAGAAGGCGGAACCAATGGAAACACTGCAGATACCACTAGAATTGGTAATCAAGTATGTACGTCCAGTTTAACCTAAAATTGATGGGTGTGATCCTGGCCTGTCGGCTTGACGACTCCAATTTAACTCAATCCCACAACTGTAGAAACTGCTAGTCTATTGAGTTTTGAATAAGTCATTTGATTCCTGTAACAGAATTGGACTATCAGGACAAGGTTATGAGAGCCCGTTGGTTGCAATTCCCAAAAACCTTGACCACAGCATCGGTGAGAAAACAGTTCCGTAGTGTCTTGGTCTACCGGAAATGAATAGTCATAAAAGGTAAGAAAAGGGTTTATTTGCCACCCACATTTCTAAGGCATCGCTTCACTCACTCCCACCTACGCCTGTTTTGTGTGTGTGTGCATGGTAGACTACAGACGACCTTGGCAACTAAAGTATTCCCTCGACGAAGACAACGCCCATGGCTGAGATCTATCTACTGGATACAACGTGAAGGTACGAAGGAAAAGATTCTCTGAGTGGAACGGCTGGAGTTACGCTTGAAATGGGATGACAGGGAGATGTTGCCTCATCCTCATCCAAGCAGAACAGCAAAGAGGTGGAATTTGCAGCGCGCCTGTATCTCTAGCAAAAGAATCATAACTAGACTGTATCAGTGCAGCTACATAATTTTACCGTTAAAAGCAACAAGCACCTCTAGATTGCTATAGGTTAGTCTCCACGACGGTAGCATGGAGCTCTGGATTTGCAGCACTACTACTAGTAGTGGTCTAGTCTACGTGCTCTTTGTTACAACGGCTACTTCTAATCGCGTGTCTAAAAGTATCTTCAGACTTGGCTCGTGCAGCACGTAATGGCAGCCTCGTGGATAATGGTAGAGACTTTGGAACTTCGCAAGAAAAAAATGGTAGACTTAATTAGGGCTTTAAATAAGACTTGCATTTCGAAAAGCAGACTGTACAATAAGCGTAAAATAAACTAAAAAAAGGCTCAAAGCTGAGGGATGAACAAAGTTATTTAAACTCTTGCATTCCTCGCAATCTCGCTTTCTGCATTGTGTTGAGTAAGAATGCAAAGAACACACTAAAGAAAATATGTCATGACAAAACTTGAAATGCTCACACGCTAAAAGAGCTTGGTAAAAATCTAGAGTGAAATCAATCCCACCAAAGGCATTTAACATAAATAACTAGTATATGGATGGATGGATACATGATGGATTGACACAAGATGGATTGACACAGGATGGATAAATAGAGAATGGATGAATAGATGGATAAAATAATGGATCAAGGATGGATGGATGCAGGATGGATAGATGGATGGAGAAGGATGGATGGATATATGAGGGATACAGGATGGACGCAGGATGGATGGATGAATGAATGGAGGATGGATAGATGGATTGATAGAGAGTGGATGCATACAGGATGGGCGGATACAGGACGGATGGATAGATGGATGAATACAGGACAGATGGATAGAAGGTGCATGGATAGATGGATGGATGGAGGGATTGACGGGTGCAAGATGAATGGATGGATGGATGAATGGATGGATGGATACAGGATGGAT